AACACTCCATACCTCTATAAAATCTGCCATCTCTTCCTTATCTTTATCAGGACTCTCAAACAGAACAGAAAACGATCTACGCAGATGGGCTGATTCTTGAGTCTGAGACCTTTTCATCATCAATGCAGTTTGTTCCTCCTCCTCCTCCTCTTCAACAATATTGTCTTTTATTCCAGACGCTTCTAATGCTGTTCCTAATGTTTTCCTTCTGTGACTCATGTTACGATAGGTATTCTGAATGTAGTTTCGTTGTTCATTTGCCAAAGAGGCTCTCCTTTGGTGAAATATCTTGTGCACTGCGTTGGACGTCATATTGACTTCCTTTTTGTATCTTAAATTTAGAACTGCAATACAAATTAAGAAAGTTAATTATCTATATAATGGCCTTCAGAATACCTTATGTCTTATTGTGTTCAACATGGAAATCTTGTTACTGAGTCAGTGACTTTCAGGGTCAACGACTGAGTGCCTTTGTCACTGTGAGACTGAAAATTGTAGTTTATCACTTAAAACATGCAAAAACACGTACGTAAGCGCATTTTACAGACTTGTAACTGCTGTTAATAAAAATTCAACATAAATTTATGAGCCCATGTTCCTTCATAAAATGCATAAACAGTAACGCAGTACCTTTTTTCTTGTAACAACTGTGCAAGCGCTTCGAAAGACGCGCTTCACAACAAATGCTAAGCGTATATTCTAACCTTATATTCTGTTTCGAATATACACAAAGTAGAAACAGGCAACCTTTAACAAAATATATGCTATTTTTAAAACAATTAGCTTTTTAAAAAATGATTATAAATTTACAACCAATTTAAGAGGTTTGGTAAGCTAATTGTAGGATTCGAAACTATGCTACCAAGGACTTAAGCGTCAAAATGGCCGACGTGAGGGGGGATTGCAAAGCTGTGAAACAAGTTGATATTTCAGTCGCTAGACAACGATGGTTAATGCTAGGGGATGTAAGTTTTTTAACCTCTACAAGAAATTTCGTGAAAGTTTTTGACGTTTTTGCATTGGTCTTGTTTTTAACGACTTCGACAAGTTTTGACTCCTGCAAGAAAAACGAACAGCTAAGAGTGAGAAAAGTATTTAGTGGTCTTTAGTAACAAGTCATCGGCAAGTTGACTTGTACTGTACTGGTACAGTTTCACATTACTTGCGACATATGCACGTTTTTGGAAGTTTTATTTATAATTTCAAAAATATTTTTCAGGTTTTGAGAGGCAGAAAGTCGAGAGATATTAACAGCTCGTCAGTATCAGTGAGGAGATTCTCTAGTTTTGGTCTACTTGAAGTAACCCCTTCTGTTCAGGAAAATGGTGATGATGGAAAAGAGGCAGACAAAGAATGCTTATGGCTTCATTACAAATGCCCAAGCTGTGAAAGATTGAATATAGATATACGGTATTTCACAATGCATTGCCACATTGATACCCATTATGTTAAATCTACTTTTCTGAGTAAGGCTTCGTTCACATGGAATGTCTATTTTCTAAAAATCTATTTTCTATTCGCGCTATCTTATGATCACGGTCTGTGCCCTGAATATCCCGCCGCGTAATTACTGGCAGCGCGAGCCAGTTACTTATAGTAACTTATAGTAACTGGCTCGCGCTGCCAGTAATTATGCGGCGGGATATTCAGGGCACAGACCGTGATCATAAGACATACCGCGAATAGAAAATAGAATTTAGAAAGTAGACATTGCATGTGAATGAAGCCTAAGTGTCTAAAATACATTTAAAATTTCCAAGTATGTAATGTTTATTTTACTTCTTGAATAGCACAGTACGTTTGTCTAGGGACTGTGAGTGAATTTTTTCTGTTTCTATTTAGGAGTTACACAGGATCATTTAAGCTTGGAGATATGATTGGTTTTAATAACACAGGGAATGTATGTAAGTACTCAGTAATATTTGTTTTTGTTTGTTTGTTTGTTTGTTTGTTTGTTTTCATACAAACATACACATTAATTATCATATGTAGGAGAATCAAGTGAGAAGTAATCTTATAATCTTGTAGGTGAGTCCCCCACAATGGAAATTCCAGCTGCAGCGATCTTTATTGATGTGTACTTGTTTACAATCATTCACAGTATATTTAAAAAAGATGTGTCTGTTTGACACTGGACCTATCCTTATGTTTTAGGTGTGTGGCCCTCAGAAGAAGTGCTAACTTACTATTGTTTGAAACACAGACATAGATTTAAGTAAGTATTTAAATATGCTGATCTGCAAAAGGATTAGTCCTTTCAGACAACCCCCTTTCCCAACAAATATGAGACATGTAGTTTATTATGTTTCTTTTGGTGACATCAGTTGTATAAGTAGCATGAATCCTCCTAAAAATAGAATAAAACTCAACAAAAACATACGTTCTACTTAACTGTTATTATGACAAATCTTTGCTTGCAGAGTTAGATATTTGAAACATCTATATGAGTTTTCTTTTCCGTTTTAGGAACAAATTTGTTTGTGAACTGGGAGGAGGGATGTCATGTCTGGCAGGAGTAGCAGTAAGTTTGTTTAAGACTATTTTTTTCATGCAAAATAGCTTGGCTCATAGTGCATGTACCATGTTGCATTGTTGGCCTTTTCTCTGAATGAAGTATAGGTCTATAGCTGGGGAAGGGGGGGTCGGGCATTTGAAAAAACTGCCTTTTTGCCAGAAAAGGTCAATTATGGGAATTTTTTTATATAAGTACACAAAGGCTTCATGATAAAAGGCCCTTTTTATTTTTTTATTATTATTTATTTATTTATTTAGAAAAAGACACACACACCCCTCCCCCTTTGAAATTGCTGGCACCTTTTGAAAACAGTATCTGTGCTTTGTGATTGAAATGTTGAATAACAAGTTCACCATTTACTTTATTGTTTACTAGCTGGCCTGTGTGTCTGATGCCCAGCATGTGCTGCTGACAGATGGCAACCAGCAATCAGTGGACAGTGGGTATTCCTTTAGTATCTTATTACTTTCTCTTTCAACTCATCAAAGTCTGACATGTCTTCAAATTGAAAACCCAGTTAGCAATTGTCTATACATGTAAATAGTCTGCAGTATCCGTTGTTCTTTTGTTGTTGTTCTTATTATTATTATTAGTATTTACCCAACAATTCTTGTAAATGATTTGTACATAAATTACATTTTAAAAGTTATTTCATTTGTTTGCTTGTTTAAAGATGAATATTTTATATGTTTTGATATATAAGGTTTACTTTACAATTATTTTTAGCAGTTTGTCATAAAAAATACCTAAGTTGGATTAAAATGTCTTAGTTAATAAGTTGATTGTACAATAGCTTCATCGGCATTTTTTGTTTAAAAGTTATGAAATAATAAATGTAAGATGCATCTTTATGGTCTTTTCATAACCTTTCAGGTGTGGAGAAAATCATTAAGAAGAATTCCACCAAATTTGGTTCCACCATTGTAAAATCTGAGTAAGTAAAATAACAAGTCGATGCCTTACTTCAAAAGCAATGTCGTGCTTCATTAATTATAAGTATGCAACTTGAACCACATGTTTCTCACATCTATTATATGAAGTAAAGCAGATGCATTTCTTTTTTCTTTCTTTTTTTTTTTTTTTTATTAAAAAAATCTGTTTTATTTCCAGAGTACTATTATGGAATAAGGATGGTAACTTTGGAAACTTGACAGAATCTTTTGATTTTATCATCTGTGCAGACTGGTAAGCTAAGTTTTTTCTTACATGAAAATGTTCATTTGATGCTTTTATGCCTTTAAATTTTCTTATTCCAATTAATTTACCCTAGGGTGAACAGAATACTAGTGCCTTTAACATGATTTGCTAATACATAAATAAATTGTGAACATTGATTGTGATGTTGTTTATATTTTTCTAATATCAAATCATGAAGCAGTGATAGCAAAAAGTGTAGTTGAATATCGCTGTACATAACCTTTGATGCAACAGTGTATTCTTTGATTCAACAGTGTACTTGTTTAAAATAAAGCTGCTTCATTTTTTTCCAGTGAAGGTGGTAGGATATATTTATGAGTGGTAAATAATGAGTTGCTGGACATTTGATGAAATAAATTGATTTTGTCTTTTTTATGGACTGAGTTACCATTTAAATTTCAGCTTCTTTTTTGACCAGTACAGAGAAGATCTTGCTCACACTATTTTCAAACTTTTAAAGGATCAGGTAAAAAAATGTTTTTCAATATCTCCTAAGGTATAGAGCACTGATGGTGTTAGCTGATATTAAATAACAGCATTTACCTTTTATGCATTATTGTTTTTACATAGATGTAGTTCATTAAGTTTTGCATATATAAATCATGATGATGTAAATACAATTTTTTCAGGGCGAGGCAATCATATTTGCCCCAAGGAGAGGCAGCAGTTTTCAGGCCTTCAAAGACATCGCAGAATCATTATTTGAAATGACTGAAACAGAAAATTATGATAGTTTAATATGGAGAAAACACACAAAGGTAAATTGTTTGACTACTAAAGATTTGAATTTTTAGATTATGTGATTTCGTTATAAGTATTCAACATAGAATCGGAATTGGAATAAAATTATGAGATTAATTTATTTTCAAATTCTTTGTGTGTAGTGTAGTCAGAGTTTCCCAAAATATTAAATTATTATAGAAAGGGTCAATATGTGACACCTTAGTTAACAACAGAGGCATGCTGACAGCAGAGAGAAACTTGTCGTCTTCTTTGAATAAGATTCGAATAGTATTTTATTATTGGTCTCCTTTTTAGATGAAAACAAATCCCGACGTTTATGATGAAAATATCCACTACCCCTTGTTGCTGCATTTAGTGAAGAAGACATGAGCAGGTGGTTCTGTAGAAACGAGGGTTGTAACCGGTGCTATATTCTCTACCTCATGGAGTGACTTAAGTTAATAAGACTGGGCCATTTGAAGTGACTGACATTGGATAGGAAATAACTTAAAAAAAAACACATTTCAAGGTTTGAGTTAAAATATGCAAACAAATATGTGCAAACCAAATATCTGTTTTATTTTCATTATTTTTTCATTAAAATTGTCTTCAGAATACGTTCAAATAATTTACTTGAATTGAGTTAAGTGCATTACGTCACACTGTGTAAATAAAGTTAAATTATGTTCTTTTGGATGTTTTTTGTCCAACAAATTGGATTTAATATGTCTTTAAAATGAGTACAGTTCGTCTATCTTCGTTCATCCAGGTGTATTGTACACCAAGAAATGTCAATAAAGCTGCATAAATTTATGCTATGTTGTTTTCCTTACATCAGCGTTGGAAATCAAAAGGCTGGAAAAATTACTTATTTATGTAGAACTGATGAAGAGAAAACGTTTCCAGTTACCGCAGGTAATTTCCGTTTCAAAGTTATCTGGGAAGTAACCAGCGACAAAAATATCAAAAGGATTCATTCTAACGACAGATTGATCGTTGCAAAAATTGTATGGTAGCATTACACTGATGATTTGTTTACTTTCTTTTACATGTCTCTGCAGAAGTTCATTTTTGTACAGCCAAAGCACTTCTGATTAATTAACTAGACGTGATATGATATTACACTGGGTGGCAACGGTGACGCAAAGTAAAGCTTAGTTATCGACTCGGGGTCGTTAAAGGTGACGAACAGTGGACATAGCGCACAGGTCATGTTGGAGATGTAATCTGACCGTGTATGATAAGTGCGTCAATAAAGAAAGTTGATTTTCGGTGCTGAGCGGATATTACTTTACTTCTTAATTAGTTTGGTTTCATGTCATTAATGAGCCTCGCGGGTTTGGAGTGACTTTAAAATTTAAATTAATTAAATGAATTCTACTGGACAAATTAAATTAAATTAAATTAAATTAAAGCAATCTGCTTATTTTAGAAGCTGAGAGCCTGGATATGTTCTGAAATAAGAGCAAACAAGAAACAGCTATCTTTATACTTAAAATTTATTATTTACAATTGATATCACATATTTATGCTTGGAAAATTGCAACAAATGGACCAGAATTTTGCTGTTCTCTTTACATTGAGCCTTGTTACATGTCCTGTATTCTGTTTACTCGGGAATAGCGTTGCTGTTTTCAGTGGTGCCATCCCCCATTCCTGACTGCAAGGCTTTCATGGCCAACACCGCCTGGAAAGCCGTACGCATTCGTTCTTTAGCATCTTTTTTTAGAGGTTCTTGTGCTGCAGCAACGGCATCGATGGGGTGTTGTTGTTGTTGAGCCTCCATCATTTTTATCTTCTGTTGTTCCGCCTTTTTCTTTTTGCGCATTTCCTTTTCTTTCTTCCGAATTGATTCGTCTTGAAAAACCGTAAACCTAGCGTCTTCGTGGTCGCGTTCATGATCCGACTCGTCGTCTGTGCTCACGTCAGAGAGATTATCCAAGAAGGCGTCGAGTTCGTCTGGTTCTATCGGGAGTTCTGCAGTAGCTTCTTTATTCCCTGCCGCCGCAAGCTTTTTCATTTGCTTCCTAGCTTCAAGCGCTTTCATGAATTCTTTCTCTGACTCAAATCCAAGCCATACCCACATTGAATTTTCCTGATTAGAGTCGATCAAACCTCTGTCTCGCTCGTACAATGGCAGAGGAGCGTCTGCCGAACCGCTGAAAGGGTTCGCTGTTGAATCGCGGGACATTGCCATGGCGATACTCCCAATGTTAATCTTCGGTAACGCGAGGGAACGAGAGGCTTTGAACTCGGTTGGTTTCGTTTCCACTGTCTTTCGTTTTGGCGTGTATTTTGCCTCCGGATTTGGTTTATTAAGAAAAGTATTTAATTTGCTGATGAAAGGGTCCTTAGTTGGATCGTCCTCTTTAAAATGCACACTGGGCTTGCCACATTTATTTTGTTTCGTGTTTTCCCGTTGGTTGGGCGAAATGCTAGGCAGCTGTAAAGATTGGCGGGAGATTTTTCTGGATTTTCCTTTCTTGGTATTATGACTTTTAGGGTGATCTGGGAAATATGACATATCAGCTACCGAATTGGCAGGAGTTTGTGGGTTTTCTGGGGTTGGCGGTGGTTGCCAAATTTCCCTTTTGATTTTCTTTGACATATGTAATCGAAGTCCAGTTTTCTCCTCGAGTGCCTTCATTTGATGCATATTGTGGTCAAACTCTTCTAGATGTTTGTGTTCAAGCTTTTCTAGGTCTGTTATGGCTCGAAGGAGAAATTTACTGGAATTTCTGTTTGCGTTACTGGCGAATTTCATTTGCCTCCTTACGGAACCTATAGCCTCCGGTTCGTAAAGAGGCACATAATACGAAATATCAGTTTTTGAACGTTTTAATTTCAGTGATGATTCTGGCGGTGGGGCAATTTTATTATGGTCACTGTACCCCATGTCAGCTTTATGGCTGGCATTTGTAAGGTCTCTACTTTGAAAGGGTTCACTTTTCATCAAATCTGCCGGAGGAAATGTTTTCGAACGCGTCATCGATTTTCTAAGTCTCCTATCCGAAAAATAGTCATCTGCAATAAGTGTTGAGTTATCCGTTTGTTCCTGACTTTTCTTTCTTTTTAAATGCCTCTCATTACATTCTTCTATCCTTTCTTTGAAATTGTCCATCTTTCTTAATAAAGTTTTCTGCTGTTGTGAAAGTTCCATTGAAGACAGCTGTCGTTCTAAATCAAACTGTCGCTTCAGGTGTTGACACTGAATATCCTCAACGCGATTTCTTTGCTCAGAACGGTTGCGGATGCTAGCATCCATCTTGTAACTCCAATTTTTCTGGTCCGACAAGCGGACTCGGTTGTAGAGTATCGTTTTTACGTTCATGGCGTTGTTATTTTTTATCCCACGAAGATCCGAATTTTTTCAGCTGAACGATATAATTGTCGGCGTCTCCTGTTGAAGTGGAACTATTCAAGGTGGCGTCGGTTGACATGCCAAACAATTCTTGAAAATGATAGCCACATGCTTTGTCGAACTTTGTAATATTCAGTTTTTGACTGTAATCCAATATAGCTGTGCGTGTTCTTACCACGGTCTACGGGCACCTGAAATCAGTGAAACAAAAAAGGGATATATCCTCGAGTTTTATCGATTGCATGAGAGAGAAACATAATACATATAATGCCAATTACACGGGTTATCAACCAAACAACACACTCTTCAAAGTTCGACCTAAATATGTTGGTGAACCAGATCGATGTTATCGGGGATGCAGGCATAAATAACGGTATTTTTATCGCCAATATATCGATTTGTTACATAAAAATCATAACAAATCAAATATAGTGTGGAATTCGTAGAAAGAAAATTAGCTAACCGTCTTTACAAGTACCTGTCTCCTCCATTGAGTCTAACACGATCCTTAAAGAAACTGATGAATTCCTAAATCTTTTGCACGCTACAGAAAACGCCACACTAAAACTCGTTCAGATCGATTTTAATAAAAACACAAACCGGTTTAGTCTAATATAACTCCAGGTAGCAGCAAACACTCACGTTACCAGTATAAGTTATCCATCTGCAATACCAACCCTTGCTTATGATATTCGCTACTTAACTCAGGGAGGGGATTGCTGAGATTGGAATTGCAATCAAGTGACAAGCATTTCAAACCACGCTGTCGTAGTCGGTACGTGTCTCCGTTATTTAGTGCAAATATAGTGAAAATGTGAAAATATTCCCTACAGTGTTATAGTTTCTGTTCTACTTAACATCTGTTTATACAATCAGAAATATTGCAACAACCCATTTCCCCGGGAAATTAATCTTTTCAAACATGAATATCAAAATAGTTCAGAAGAACCACCCCCGTACCTAACATACAGTGGTTACCTAATGCCGCGTGACTTACTGTTTTTCTTAGCACCTTTAAAAACAAAATCTCCCGGCTCCGGTAGCGTTAAAGTACCAATATTCCTGCACTTGGAACCCTGTAATGGCACTCGAGGTCCGTGCTTACGTTTTAATTACGAAACTTTTTCAAGTGCGTTCGAGCAGTTGATTTATCGCATTACAGAGCAGGAACAGCGGATTACGTGATTTCTCTATTATATCTGTGAGGGTGCGGAACAAAGCTTGTAACTTTGTGCCTTTTTGTGCAACTCCAAGTCAAGATAAAATTCTTCATAAATATCGTACTTTTTGGTTGCTGAAGATTGAAAAAGGGGGTCTAGTGCCGTTACTGTGCTGAGCTACTATATGCTGTTTCTATTGTATATAAACTGACATGATACAGGGACAAACAAATATTACTTTGACTCGATCATTGTCATGTATAAATCGGTTCAATTTCGTTTTCTTTTTTCTTTTTTTCTTACAAGAAAGGAACAAAGTTTTATAAACAGAAAAGTGTTGTTATGTTATTTTAATATCTAAAAATACTTTTTTATGGTTTTAAGTGGCCTGTTTGAAATATATTAGCCTTTAGTGTCAAATGCTATCAGCTTTCAACCGAGTCAACTGTCGCTAACCCCAGTATGTCAGCCTATACATGTAATAGGCCTATTCTATAACTGAGCGCAAGTCTATGTCAAATATTGGTACTGCTTCTAATGTTAAACCATTTGACTCAAATTGAAAAGCAACAATGAAGAAACAACATGGATGGAAAAATCCCGCAGTCTAAAATTCATTATTTTTCAAGTGTTATTTTACAGGCCTTTTTAGTACACTTATGTTGGATAAACGAATTTTATATAACTTACACTTCATCAAATATATAGATAGTAAATGTTCGCAATCAACGAGTTGTAAGTCTCAAATCAACAAAGATAATCAAACGAAGATATTCGACATCACTTACCGTGTCCCTTATCCAGGTCGTGATGATGTTAGATCAGATGTATCATGTTGACTCTAGCAGGCTGTGTGTACTGTGACACAGTGATACTGAAGAGCCTCGCAACCAAATGTCTCCCTGCGCTGGGTCGGATGCGCCGATATACAATGAGAAAACATTTTTCTAACCTGCACTTCACATTCGCTCATCTATTGACAGGCGTTTAACAATCCAGTTCAGGCTTCAGCTGAAAAGATTTATGGGAAGGGAGACAAAGCGCTGTTTTCTTCGGGCTCAAAGAGTAAGAATTAATTTGAAGCCCCTTTGGATCGAATTTCAGTATTGTTTTCATGTTACTATTGTCACGACAGTAGATTTTCGCTCTACTTACAGGTGCGGACAAAAGATACGGTATTCTTACTTTTATGTTACTCAAATGAAGCAAGAGCCTTTCGTTTCTTGTTTGATGACGCTTTAGTGAACCATAGGCCGTGGACAAATTTGTTTGCACACACGAAATTAAGTCCTGCATATGTTGCCCAAAGGGTAGAAAAAAGAGGGACACGTTTACTTGGCTACGAGCGCAAACTCTGTATTTTGTTTATTGTGGTTTCTATTACGCCTGTATAAGCCTACGTATTACGCAAACAGTGGTACTGTATAAATCTTTCCTTTTCTTCTCGCTCTGCCTTTATATACGTTTATAGGTGTGAAAATTAGTCTTTAATGAAAGTAAATGAATAGCATTCACGCAGTAATAAGGTCTGATTTCAAATGCAGATTTTAATAGTTGGTGTTCTCGCTGAGGAGACACGGTTCTCAGCCAACCACATGATGCGGAAAGATGAAAATAATGAAAATATTTAGACGACCTATAATTCACTACGGGCGTGGTATCGTTTACAAGTCAGAATTTGTCCAATTTCTAGTTGAAAATTCAAAGTTTTTATACTTATTTATATATTTGTTTTTAATGAAATAAAGATAAAAAACATACCGTTATTCTTCACGTATAATTCTACCACCCCTTTAAGTTTTAGATTTTCATTGTAGGGAGAAGTATATTATAATTTTTCTTGGTTCAGAAAACATAACAATGTCATTTATAACACCACAATCCTCCGGCTCGTATACATCATTTCCCCGTTACATGCGCTTAATGTAGATATTCGGTTTTTAAATTTGGACTCCACTTTCCATTAATTGAAACATTAATTTTTACTACATATTGTGTATCCTTTTCTCATTGTATCCTTTTTTCTTTTTTATTTATTTATCTTATTCTTTTTTATCTATTAATTTCTAATTTCCATTTGAATTTGTTAAAGCAATGAGTTACTTTTTTAATGTCGTAGTATATAATAATAATAATAATAATAATAATAACAACAACAACAACAACAACAACAACAACAACAACAACAACAACAACAACAACAACAATAATTATAATAATAATAACTAGAAAAGCACTCCGAGAGCGCAGACCTCCGCCAAGGCAGCAATTTTTTATTATTATTGATTATTGATTGATTATTGATCCGGATCACTACCAAAAAATAATCATCTCTTCCATGGCCCACTTCTGACAGTTCCTGAAAATTTCATCAAAATCCACTGATCAAAATCGGTCCCAGTGACTTTTTGAGTTATGTTGATGACAGACAGACAGACAAACACACAAACAAGGGTGAAAACATAACCTCCTTGGCGGAGGTATACTTCTCAGAAAGTATAATAAGAAAATTATAATCCCAGCATGCCTTTCAAATTTAATCTTTGTTAGCTTAAACTTGTAAAATTTCTACAAATCAGTAAAACGGCTTTTCTGTGCGTGTCTTGGGCAGAGACACTCTCTAAAATGCGGAGATCAGAATATTTTCAAACAAAAAAGTTTGGCTAGATGAACACTAGTACTGGAAGAGGATGAGTTCTAATGTTGAGTTTTACCAAAGAATGGAAGATTTGCAAAACTTTCAGCATGAAAGGTAATGTTAGGGAAACTATTCAGTAAAAGTAACAGGCAGCGTTACATCTCGGTTGTGATCGAAACCGTCTTGAAAGAAACTAAAAAACAAAACAAAACCTTTTTGTAAAGGATTAAAATGTTGAATTAAATTAAACTGTAGAAGACTTATTTAATTCATCAGTAGGATAATAAGAAAATAACCATTTATTTTATTTATTTATTTATTCATTTTTTTACAGTGAAAGAAGAAGAATGCAACTTGAACAGAAACTCAACAAACATGTAAAATCTGACAGAAAAATGTAAGTTTGCTAAGAAACTTTTGTGCAATAAGCTGATTTAAACTGTGTAGATTTAAGAACATTGCTACTTGGTCAGACATTATTGCACTATAATTTTTAACCCTGATCACAGTGATTTACATTAGAGGGTCCTAACTCGTTTTAGAAACAGACTGCGGGCTTCCAAACTCCAAGCTCAGTGGAGAAAGGTGTGTGAGGATGAAAGGAAGAGCCAACTGCGTAATGAGAAGCTGATGAAAGATGTGGAGAGAGTGGAAAACCACTTGTCATCTTTGTCAGCCAAGACAGACAGGTTACGACTTCTGAAGGTAAACTCTCCTGGAACATCATAGTGGTCTACTGTACCTCTGTCATTTTATTTGCAGAGTTAATTTTTGTAAAAATTCTTATCCCCTTCTTTGTAATATTCATCAATGGATTTGAGTATGTCAGAAATACTTTGTTTCTAATCATTCTAAGCATTTTCATTTGAAAATACTATACACATTTTATAAACAACACTTATGCTTCAATTGAATTGTTCTTCTTTTCAGAATTTCAACTAGCTGCAATTAATTTGGATATTTATGAGGAGTTTTAAATTCTGTTTCGTGAAGAATATTATTTTGATTTTTTTTTCTATTTAGGAGCAGTATGAAGACTATATTGAGCGTATGTATCCTAAATGGAAAGAGAGGATCATTCAAAATCAGCAAATGGTAAATATACATGTGCAGTAACACTTGGTTTTGTCTCTGCTTGTCAAGAAATATCACCCATGAGACTCTGCTCTTGTAGTGAAACCCTTTACCATCTTTTTGACATGACATACAATTTATTAAAATTTTTTCAGGCTGAAAATGCAGAGACTCTACCACAATCATACGACCCATCTTTTGCAACACAATTCTTTGCAACAAAGGAAAATTTCCCACCGTCATCAACAAGACTGGGGTCCACAATGCCACCTACAGCAGTATCGGGTTCACTAGGCAGTAGCTACATACCTTCTAGTCTTGGTTTACCTCCCAGAGGCAATTACACAGCTGCTACTGGACTTCCTCAGCCTGGGGTCCTTCAGAATAGAAACTATGCACAGACCCAGCTCCCCCAGACAACAGGGCTGCCTGTGCACCCACCAGAGCAGTTCCATCCCCCATCAGAGTACAACTACAACCAGTATCCAGGCTTAGGAGACACGGGGACTAGTTTTGTCACACCTAGCCTGAATGCCAGTCAGCTAGGCAGTGTGACTCCTATGTCGACTCTCAACTCTCAAGGTGGACTTGTGTACCCTGGGTTAGGGGGCCACCCTGGGGGGTTGCAAACATCCCCACAGACTCACCAAGCTTCTAGTTTACCAGGCACCTTTCAGAGGCCTCATTTAGCACAAAGCTTGCCACCCCAGTACATGATGAGCCAGCTTGCCACACCCCAGGGTGGTCGTCTTCCACTGCAAGGGTATCCACAGCATTATGTAGCTTCTGAACAGTCTGTTCCTATGGGGACAATGCAGTCTCAGGGCCCTGCTGGTACACAGCATCTGGGGACAGCTGAAATGAATCTAGCTCAGAGTCATGTGCCACCACAGAATGCTGAGAGACAGGAAAGTAAGATGACTAGTCAGCCTGTGATACAGCAACAACATCAAAAGCAGCAGCAACAACATCATCATCAGCAGCAACAACAACAACAACAGCAACATCAACAGCATCATCAACAATCAAAACAACAGCAACGGGCAGCTGTCCCCCCAGCAAAACAATCTCCACTGAATGTGACTGGACCAAAGAAGGAAGTACAAGCAGTTGACTCCAGCAGACCAGATGATGACTTGTTGGACAGTTTTACTCTAAGTGGCAGCACAGATAAAGAACCAGTGGAAAACTTGGCACAGGAAATCACAAATGTTAATGAGAGTAAAACAACCCTTGGAAAGGAAACAGATGTTGGACAGCCAGAAGTGGATATCCTGACTGTAACTGAACAGAATGATACAAGAAAAGGTTAGTAAGCTAACTCTGAATGCTGATTTTATGTTAAAACAGTTTTCCTGATTATTTTGAATGTTTTGAATTTGAAAATTGGTCAGGTGGAAATGGAATTTTTTGTCTGAAAATTTACTTAGTTTATATATATACCTTTTGCCCAAAAGAAAATGTTAAATGTGCATGTTTTTATCACCTTCCGGGTGTTTCCACAGACATGAAATCTGACCACGCCTCCAGTGATGCAGACACAGAAACCAGTCTGAGTGATGGAGAAATTTCACCTAGAATAAAACCAGCTTTCCAACGATCCCATTCAAACGTTGATCCTTCTCCCCGTGAGAGAGAAGGGACTGCAGTCAGAATGGAGAGACGTCCGTCCCTGCAGTCACCCAGACATGTCCAGACCCCGTCCACCCCCAGGTCTACTAGGACCCCACCCCGAGTCCAGTCCCCAAGTCAGAGAAAACCCTCCATTAGTTCTGCCAAAGATGTGACCAGTCCACTACAGTCACCCAGAGAGTAAGTTTAAGATAATGAAATCATAATATGCAGACTTTAATTTGATTCATGCTTATTGAGAGAACTCTTACAGTTTATTTTGTTGTGTTTAAAGTTTAATGCTGAATTTTTTTTTAGATTTTTCCATTTTAACAAACATCTTTCATATTTGGGAAGATTGGTCAAATCTGTCATTGTTTAAGACATCTCAGATCATTTGCTTAATAATATAATAATATAAAGGTTAACAGTTTATAAAGTTTCCATTCATTTTGAAATATTGGAATTGAACTTTATAAAAGTTCCATCCTTAATTTTTATGTTGAAAAATGTTATGATTGTGATTCAATATCATTTTATAAATCTCATTTATACAGAGCACCAGAAATATCAGAATCTGAACCTCCGAGCACTCCAAGGAAGCCTGACCTGACACTGGATGGCTTGTATAGTTTGTTGCAGGCCATACAGGAAGATTTCCCTGTCACCTATGCACCAGAGACTTATTACAGATTCAAACATCCAACCTCACAGAAAAAGAAAGAGATTATAAGGTACTCAGTGTGTACTTTTAAAATTTTTGAAGTATCTGGATTTTGTTATATTAAGAAATAGGAAGCCTTTGTTTGTAAATTGAAATGAATCAAAGAAGGGGTTTTTATTGCCAGGCATGGTGAATTCTAATTAGATAGTTAGTCTGTACCAAATTGAAGTGCATGATTTTGCACATTCTCAGAACTATTGGATTATTTGATTTTTTTTTTCAAGAAAGAGAAAATATTAAAGGTATCTAAATTACTTTATTTATTTGGGGGATAAAAATTGCCTAATAGTAAAATGTCAAATTCTTCCAGCTCGGCCAACTTGAGCCAACCTCTTTCAGACTATGATCCAGCAGAGATGAGCATGGTTGTGTTGGATGAGCTTCCCTTGCTGGTTGGTCAGAGGAAAGGAGGCTCACTGCTCACTGAGAAAGCACTGACTTCTAAACGACCAATTACCAGTGAGTTAGATATAAGGTAGGTAACTAGAAATGAGAAATAGCTTGAAATACTCCTTAAAAAAAAAAAGGCATGTTTTTATGTTTTATCTGGAAAAAATATGGGATTAAAACTTTAAAAACATATCTATGAAAGAAATAAATAAAATATTGACTTTGACCTGATATTATGTCATGAGACAATTTGTTTATTTTATGCCAAATGAGACACCCCCATGTGTTACATATCTCCTGTCTGTTCCAGTTCCCATATATTCACCACATCTCTAGAACTGTGGGACAGGTTATTTGTGATACCTGACTCCTGTACATATCTCCTGTCTGTTCCAGATCCCATATATTCACCACATCTCTAGAACTGTGGGACAGGTTATTTGACCACTTTGCTGCCTTGATCAAGAATAATGTCATGAGGGCTGACCAGGTGGCAGCACTGTTTGCCCACACTCTAGTTCCTGCTAACTCCAAGAATAAAGACAAAGTATGTTTTAAAGACATTATTATCATGAAAAAAATTGTGATTTTTTATTTATTTATTATTATTATTATTATTATTTTTATTATTTTATTTATTTATTTATTTATTTTTTTTTTTTTTGCCTTTTTTGTGTAACCTTTTTTTTCTGAAGATAGTCTCAAAAGCTGATAACTTTGGTTTGCATCAAAATCAACAAAGTGGCATTAAGATATAACTTTAGACTGGCTGTCAATAAATGAAAATATATACCTCAAATTATTCATGTTTTTTATGCACATCTCATAGGCTGTAGAGCTGCTAAGAACTCTCTTGGAAAACAGAATGGCGGTAACTCTCCCTCCACCGGATGATGAATCTTCATCTGTGAGCATTCCATCCCCTCCCCTGTCCCCCAGAGAGTCCAAGGTGCTGGAGAAAGTACACGAGGAACAAGAAACAAAAGGTAGTGCTAAAAGCATTTTGTGTATTCTCTGCATAGACTTGAATCCTTTTTTTTTTTTTTTCAGAGAAACATATTTCTTTTAAATTGGATTTGTGTATAAAAAGAAGCAGTATAAGATGTTTTCATTTACTGGTATTGGGTTTTATTTGTTAGGTCTAACCAGATGTATTTTAACTTTTTATGATGCAAATTAATGAATTGCTTTTGAGCTGTGAGTTTTAAAAATGGCATATAAGTGGCTCCCTCTAGTGTCTGATGTTAAATGACATTATTTCAGTGCCAGCATTAAATCTAGGGAGCACAGCAGGGCTGACTGAGAGTGAGAGTGAAGAGGACTTTTTCACCCAGCCTGTTCCAAAAGAGGATTTGACACGTAAGGAAAAAATTTCGTAGTGTTCTTTTGCAATTAATAGTTGCAGCACTGTTTTATAATGATGCTTAGTTTTCCTTTTTGTAATTTAGAAATGTTGAAACAGGTTGTCATAGGCTGACAAGAATTTTTTAATTTTGTTATAAATTTATATCGTGAAGATACAGAATTTGAAGGATATATATATATATATATATATACTGTACATGTTTCCAATCAAATTTCTGTATACAGATATTTTGCCAACTGTTGAAAGAGACAGATAATTCTTCAAGTCACTTGCTGTTGGTTATTGGACCACTGAACATCCAAGTATACTTAAGCCTCTGTGTTGTATCAAAAACATAGACAAATTTGCTCTCATGTCTTCCAGAAACGGCAGCCTACCAGAGCCTGCTAAGTGGCACCGCAGTGAATCCAGTGAAAGATGATGACTCCGATGGTAGCGAGGACAGTTTGGAGAAACAGTTAGCAATGGTAGTTGCCCCGGGAGAGGCAAGGTACTTCATCAGACAGAGCTTTTGCAGAAACATGGAATTCTGCATTTTTTTTTTTTTTTATTCAATTCTGATTGTTCCTGAGATTTGGCAAGATCTGCAGTAAAATCTATTCAGAGTTTGTTTTTTTTAAACCTAGGCTCATGTCTGCTTCATCTTCATCCTGAATTTCTTTCATTTCTATGGTTTTATTGATACTCCTTTACCTAAAAATACAGCATTGATGTAATTGTTCTGAATGACTGAAAATGTACATGCTGTTTTCCGACTGAACCGATTATATATCACATGATGTTGTGTGTTAATGCTAGGCTTGATGTACCAGCTAATATGTTTAAAAGAATCTTTGCAAATGCAGTATATCTGATTCTTAATGAGCTTGACTTGTGGATTTAGCATTTATATCGCTTTTATTTGCGCTTCAGCTGCACTAACTATATGAATTAAGATGTGTGATGCAGTTTGTCTTTCTGTATTTTGCAAAGAATTGCATAAATTCATTATGTACTTCTTTCCGATTGATCACTCTTATGGGTCTGGGGGAAATTTTGGGAAATTAATATAAACTCTAAAATTGATTCAAAAAAGAAATAAACAGTAGGGATACCAACCATAATTGAGCTTAAGCATTTCTAACGTGCATAAAGCATCACATTATAACATTTGCAGCAAACCTTCAGAGGTCAGTAAACAGGTTGTAAGCAGCACGTCAGCCCCTGCTCCAGCAGCGGAAACCCCTGGAAAAAACACTGGGGCCCAGAACCAGGATACAGATGATGATCAGCACTCTGAGGGCAGTTCTCCGTCACCTGCTGCCTCTCCAGGAGGCTATGTGCCGTCTGCTTTGAGCTCTGGGTAATATCACATGGAAATGAAAGCTTGCTTCGGATTTTTCAAGGATATAGTTATCTTCTTAATGCCCACATTTTACAAATGTTTGTTAGCTAAATGTCACTTTGATTACTCACCAGAACTAGACTGATTCAGAAGTGATAGCCCTCTTCAAAGGGTTATCAAAGATGTTTTATTCAACCCTAATATTATTCACATGGTAGGATACAACTTCACTTTTGCTTACAAATTTCACAGGGTCACAGGATAAAAATTTATTAATGCCACTCAGTGAAGTATATCAATTTTTAAAACAGGGGATGATTGTGATTTTTCTTAGGTCCTGTAAAAGGGGAACTCTCTTCCTTTTTTGGCACTCATTGCTTATTTTCATAATGCTTTTACTAATCTTGCCAAGTTCAATTTATATATCATGTACACATTCTCTGAAATTTTTTAAGTCATGGTTAGCTGATGTTTTAAAAGGGAGTTGTGTTTTGATTGTTAAATGTGATTTTTTTAAATTTAAATATATATGGGCTTGACAGTTCTAGTATAGATTTCAAGCCTCTCTGTATATGGTTTTTATGTTTATAAACAAGAAGACCAGCAATTAGTCATTTGTTCTCTTTTTCGTCATTTCTAATTTAGGGTGAAGTCCCCCACTGCCCTGTCCTCAGGGAGGAGTGTCGTCACCCCAACTTACTCCACAGGAAAGAAACCAGCTGGTGAGTTCATAAAGATGTGCAGAATTTTATAAGTTCCATGATTTTATTATAAAGATATGAATTAATAATGTTATATATGATCTAAGTCTCCTTATGAAGATGTTACTTTTGGGTATGGTAACAAAAGTGTATCCTCTAATTTTCCATACAACAAAGAACACACATTAACCATGTTCTCCATTATATTACAACATTTTGCATCAACATGAGTTGATATTTTTTTCTCTGTTTTACCTAATTAAGTATTTTATATCTCTCTGTTACAGCTCTGCGCACTGGATCAGACTTAGACACTGATTCTGAGGTAGAGAACCAGATGAGTGCCGGGGGAGCCATAGATGATGACCAAGATGACTTTGATTTCTATGACTAGCAGAGTGCTGGGGGAGTCATAGATGATGACCAAGATGACTTTGATTTCTATGACTAGCAGAGTGCCGGGGCTGTCATAGATGATGACCAAGATGACTTTGATTTCTATGACTAGCATAGTGCCAGGGAAAGTCATAGATGATGACCAAGATGACTTTGATTTCTATGACTAGCATAGTGCCAGGGAAAGTCATAGATGATGACCAAGATGACTTTGATTTCTATGACTAGCAGAGTGCTGGGGGGAGTCATAGATGATGACCAAGATGATTTTGATTTCTATGACTAGCAGAGTGCCGGGGGAGTCATAGATGATGACCAAGATTACTTTGATTTCTATGACTAGCATAGTGCCAGGGAAAGTCATAGATGATGACCAAGATGACTTTGATTTCTATGACTAGCAGAGTGCTGGGGGAGCCATAGTTGATTTATTTATTTATTTATTTATTTATTTATTTATTTATTTTGTCAAAATATATTTAAGATACTTAAGATTTAAAACAAATGCCCTTAAATCTAAAAACATATGTGCTTGTTAGCTGGAACAAGGGTAAATGAATTGAATGTTTTATCTATATTCTATACATTATAAAAGGCAGCAGTGATTATTTCTAAATCTTCATTCAAGTATTGATAGTGAACTGTTATGTGGCAAATACTCCACTTAGAAGCAGTATTATACATATACCTGTAAGTTTTTGGGAGTACTGGAATATAATCTGGTACTAAATTTTAAAGTTAAGTTTAGATGGTACAACCATGTAGTAGATCAAGAAAATCAGTATGTACTCATTGTGAATCTGAAAATGTTAAGAGATTCAGTCATGTCACTAATTTAATATAATTTTAAGTATTTAAACTATTTTATTTGTTCCTTTATTTAGTTTTTCTTGTTTTGCAAAAGTGAATTTATTGTGAACAGAAAAAGGTCAAATAAATAAATTATTTTGTTCTGAACAACTTTTTTGCTATCAATTTAAATAGAATTATATACTGGTATATGTATGTGAAGAAGAAAGATTACTACACTGATTACTGTTGGAACAAGCATACTTTACTTCATATAGTAAATGCCTAATACAAGTTTCCTCAGAACAACTGGGATCTGCCTGCTAAGCACTGTACTTTACCCTCAACTTCTTGTAAAAAAAGTTTTAATATTTTAATTTAAAAAAAGGATACAGAAAATATCTAAATGTACATAGATGTATAATTTAATAAATCCACCAAATAAGTGGTTAATTAATTACAATTTCTAATGCTAATAACAGTGTTAAAACTTGCAATTGCCCTCCTCCTCTGCCCCCCTCCCCCTTGTAGACACACCCCAAATCCCCAAAAGTCCCTTCAAAATTAATATCCAATCAGAGTTTAGTGTTCAATTTGTGCGGGTCGATGTCCATGCTTTTCCGTTTACTTCCGGTTAAGTAACATGCAGGGAATACGAGTATTTCCACTGGAGAAGGGTCTCCTAATTTCAAACGTTATGCAGCGAAAATGCATATTTACGGCACTAAAAAGTGCCAAGCATGCACAAGTTGTTGCAAAATCTGCAAGAGCATTTTCTGTGTGCGCACAATGTAAACAAAAACAGCAACCTGTCCAAAATATCTTTGACAGAAAAGCCAAGAAAATGCAAAGAAACAGAACGGCTCTGATGGAGGATTATGAAGTGTATCAGTACATCAGAGATAAGGTGATTATTCTGAATCTTGAAATTCGTTTTTACAGAGGTTTAAGGATCATGTCCTCACATAGGAGGATTTCTTGGACTGGCATTGATTTGTTTTATTTGATAATTTGTTCTTGTCAAATAAAGTTGGTTTTTAAGCCAGTTATTCCTGATCAGGAATATATATGTTGTAGTTTCTTCTTATTGTGGCAGTGTGTCTGTTGAATTCAGATTAAAATTAGTGGTTTTATGCTATATGTTTCAGGTGGGATACAGTCTAGCTGATAGAATAAGAGACATTAAAAGGTAGCTGAAACATTTTAGATTGCCTCTTATATCTTCATTTCTCTTAATTAATTATGTACTTATTGTTACTGTAACTTTTTTGCATTTTTATTTTATTTACTTTTATGCTAAGAAGAATTGGGATTCAGCTGTAAATTAGGCAGCAGCGATTTCAAGTGTTCATATTACTACCATGATTTTCAGGAAGTTCAATGTGGTTGTAGACTTGGGATGTGGGAGAGGTCATATTGGCAGCAGCATGGACCCAGACACAGTAGGGACGTTGATTCAGTGTGAAATGGCTGAGATGGTTCTGGTAAGGCTATTACACTATAGTATATTGAAGAATTATACTACAGTTTATTAGATAGTTATTTGAGTAGAGGCAAGTGTTCTGAACTTTGCTAACTTTAATACTGATCAGTGTCAAATGTAAATTATGCAAAATTATGAAAATATTTTTAGAAAAGTAAAATTTTTTTCCACGAAGTTTGAGTGCTGAAATTTTCAGAATTTATATTGTTTACTGGATATGTCATATTCTTTTATTTTGATGGGATCAGAGTACACAGATATTGAGTGCTTAAAATTTTCCCTCTTCTTCTTTTTTTTTTCAGGCACAAGCTTGCAAAAATGAGGATATCAAGACCTTCAGTGTGGTAGCAGATGAAGAATATCTTCCCTTTAAAGAAAATTCTCTAGATTTAGTTGTCAGTGGCTTAAGGTACATGTTATAAAGTTCTCACCTACATTGAAATTGAAATTCGTTTGCAATTGGTTGGTTTTCAGAGAAATAGCTATGTTGTTCCCAGAGCTGTGTTGTTTTTGTTTCAGGGTTGCCAATGTCATAATTCTCTCATAGTGTGTAGATCTGTTGCCCTGCATCTACTACATTGATATTATTTAATAGCACAGATATACGTTAATAGTAAAAAGTAATCATTTGTTAAAACTTTGTTGTATACATCTTAAGACGGTAACCCTGTTGTTATGTGTGATTATACATCTGTATTTTTCTTTATTTCAGCCTACACTGGGTGAATGATTTACCAGGAACATTTAAGCAGGTTAGCTTATAGCTGAAACATTACCTTTTAAATGGATGTTAACTAGTGTTTAGTTATCGAAATAAAACAAGTTATTTGAAGCATTTCTGCAGCAAGTATCACATAAATGTGGCAAGGTTTTTTTAAATTCTCATTTCTCTAATTTAGTATGTTTGTTGCATCTGTATCTCTACAGATTCAGCGATCTTTAAAACCAGATGGTGCTTTCTTGGGGACGGTGTTTGGTGGAGAGACTCTGTATGAACTGCGCTGTTCTCTACAGTTGGCTGAGATAGAAAGGGAAGGGGTAAGAACTGTCTGTCTAATAACAAAAATAATAATGCTAATGATAATTTATTGTACTTTTTGCAATATAAACAGCATATGTTGAATGCATATTTTGATAGATAGTATTTAACAGTTAGAAGGAGGTTTGCTTTTATCACTTAGTGTTTTTAAAGATCTGATATTTATAACACAAGAATTTAATGATGTGAGAATTTTAAGGGTGGTGTTTAATGTTTTTTCCACTTAATTCCTTTAATATTTTTTCTTCTTTTCAGGGGTTTGGACCACATATATCTCCTTTTGTAGAACCAATAGATATTGGAGCTCTGTTGGATAGAGCTGGATTTAATTTAGTCACAATGGCATGTACATATGTACTCTACAACAATTTTTCTTAATAAATAGCTTAGTTTCAAAAATTTAACATGAAGTATTGTTTTCTTATTTCTTATACTCCCGATTCCTCATGTTTTTCAAATGAATATGTTATTCTAAATGGCTGAGCTAAAAGCTAAAGGTCAAATGCATGTTTTGTCACATAACAACAGTTACATAGATCACGGTATACGTCTTTCTAGTTTGGTAAAAAAAATTATAATATTTTTCAGGATACTGAAGAAATCAATATTGCATACCCATCCATGTTTGAAGTGATGGAAGATCTGAAAGGTAAGGTAATTTAACAGTTTATGTTAAATTACCAGTAATAAATTGTTTTTGAACAAGTTTCACTCCATGTGCAATATTTCTATTTTCTTAGTGAGTTTCCACAATGAAACCATCATAATAAATTGATCAGACAGGAACTCGCGCTGAATGCAATCAGATTAACAGACTAACACGCCTCCCACTGGCATAGAGTAGAAGGACTGGTGATTATACAAGTTTAAAACAAGGAAGTGTGTTAATCTGATTGCATTCCGCTATTCCCCACAGAGTTGGATCGTTCTACCTAGTATAATAGTTTCATTGTAAACACACCCTTTTATAATCTCTTATGGTATAATTACAATTTTTCCATACAGGAATGGGTGAAAACAATTGTGCATGGAATAGAAAGTCCCACATTCAAAGAGACACCCTGATTGCTGCCGATGCCATATACAGAGGTACATTTATTTATTTTTATTTATTTATTTATTTTTTGTGTTTAACTTAATAGATTTTTAGATGGGAAGTGGATTTTCATAGCGCTGTTAAGTTAAAATTTTAATTGTCAATTTCTTTTTCTCAATTTTCAGAAATGTATGGACTAGAAGATGGGAATTTACCGGCCACATTTCAAATTATACATTTTATTGGATGGAAGCCTCATCCATCTCAGGTAAATGATTCATTAAGATAATGAAGGTCAACTATTATGTCAGGCAATTTGCATTTTACAAACAGCACCTGCTATTAAACAAGAGCTTAGACCTTTGCAGAATTTTGAATTTTACGATCATTTGATGTTGTCATTTAAAGTCCTAAATTGTCAAAAATTATTACTTTTTTTCTTCAGAAAAAGCCCGCAAAGAGGGGATCTGCAACAGTATCAATAAAGGACATTGACAAACTTGATCAGATTATCAAAGAACATGAACTGCAAACGAAACAAGACACTGAGAAGAAAAAGTCAGAAAAGACTGAGAAGTCAAAAGATGACAAGAATAATGAACCAAGTTGAAAAATCTGCAGTCATTAGAGAAAGAGAGAAGCACCAGAACAGTTAGAAATATAAACAAATTTGACTTAATGTATCAGTGTATCAGCTCAAAAAAGAATTAAATAAAATATGGATAAAAGAGGTATTGTTTGATATAACATGAACCTAGGCCTATTAAATTATTGGATACTGTTCTGTGACTTAGTTTGTTTTGACTAAAGCAAAGAATGGAGAGACAGACACACGCTGGAACGTAATAACAAGGCATAAAAACCCTAATTTGTAATTTTTTTAAAACGGCATAACATTTGACAGTTGTTTTATAACTATTAAAGCACCTTTCAGTGAAAGAAGCACCAGATTTATTTCTATCACACCAGGAACTGCTTGCAATGAATGTTCTAATGTATTGTACATATTTTTTTCGTTCTAAATTTATTAAACTTGCATATTTTCCCATTGACTAATGAAAGCCCTATAATTCGGTATTACAAATGTCATTGCTTTTAATGCTCAACATCAGATGCAAAGGAATGTCATATTCCTTAGAAAAGAAAATGTTACGTTTAATGTTTAAATCTAAACACACTGAAAATCATCCTTACTTGACATAAAGGCCTGAAGCTACAGAGGTGAAGTATATGTTTACATTGTTTTAAGTTTCAGTTGTATACAAAATATGCTACAAATATAAATATACTGCTAATACATATCACTTGTTAAAAGAGCCAGTTCTGGAATAAAATCAGTATTTTCGTATCACAAGTTCTTATAGAAGACCATCATGTAAGACTTCTAATTTGTTTGGTTTCAGCGGCATCTATAAGGCCACTTCGTTAATATCTCAAGCACCATCGATGTCATGCATCATTATTTTATTTAAACCTGATTTGGTCATAAAAACTGCTGACCATTAAAAGTGAAAGTGAATAGCACCACTAAGGTATGCTTTACATATTCCCATCCATTAATGTCATGGGTAAACTTTGTGTGCTAGATGACATAGCAATTGGATACATGAAATATCTATACTGGCAAGAAATTAAATTTCATTTTCCATGGCATGTCAAGATCTGAGTAACTTGAAAGGGGATTTTCTTGGCAGAGTGTGGTTACCACTTTGGGAAGCATTGCCAGCGGAGACCTGGACCTGGAGCTCAATGCTGCCCTCTAGTGACAGCCACTTGGTCACCTCCTGGGAGTCTGAAAGATACAAAAAACAAAGGGGTGCAGGTTATTGGTTAAAATGTTTAGGGTTTACTCAATACCTGTAATATCTGTAACAAATGAGAATAAGATTTAAAACTCTACAATTTATATGCTACAATTATATCTGCTCAATCCTAGATAGATCTAACCATCCAAGGAAGCATAAAACCCAAGCTGATGTATATGTAGTGTTGCAGGTGGTCTTTTACAATTACCAGTAGTACTCTATGCAGAGATTGTTACTGTCATTTAAGCAGATCAAGAACAGTGTGGACTTTTGTCACAGATGACGAGTGGAAAGAGCGTGCAAAATGCCAAGACTTCTACAGTCTACAAATCTTTTGCTTAAAGTCTGTTTTCACTTATCTGTATTTTAGAAAGATGTGTGGAAGGATATAAGATAATGCCCTCACTTTTTAATGAATTATTAAGCAGCATTATCAACATACAGGACTAAAATTATTACACTTGTGATTCATCATGAATAACAAAAGTTACATCTCTTAAAAATTATATACATTATAAATGATGTTATATTAATTCTAAACTATAATGAAGTGTTTTGATGTGGTTCTTACCTTTCAGCAGCTGTCTCAGAGACACTCCTCGTTGTCCAATGTGTTCTTTTCTAACATTCTTGACATCAAAGATGAGGACGGAATTCTCATGGATGCCTTGCCCTTCATCTAGCTGTTGGCAATTTAATAAAATCAATAGTTATGCTGTGTATTGACAATTTGGATTTGTTTGCTGGTGACTTAAAAGCTAGTGCTTAAAAATATATATTGGTATATGCTAATTTTTATTTCATCTTTTTTAAGAAAAATTCTCCACATCCTATATTCCATTATGAAAAAGCATTTTCTTGGCAATGCATGAAATTTGTTGTATACCAGTATTTATGTATTTAAATTTAAATCCTTAGATACATGTACCTCTGCTAAGGCTATACAATTCAAACTAAGAATGTGACTTACATCAAATTCTAAATGAAAGTCTGGCTCTGCACAAGCACGAACAACAGGAGATTTAGCAATTTCTTTGCCTCTGCTCTGTTTCTGCGACTTGTAAGGGCTGAACCTGATATTGAAATCAATAATGATTCATGTTTTGTAAGCTGAGTGAATGTCACATTTATACTTTTTTCAACAGAAAAATCAGTAATGATAAAGCTTATCATATCAAGTGTCCCCTGCCTGTACATATTTTTTAAAACTTTGTTTCAAAGTACACAGTTTAATTTGGGATATAAGAGAAACTACATGTCACTGACTTTTAAAATTAGTCAGACAGCATAATAATTTTATCACCTATTTGATAACACACAATAAAAATTGTATACATGACACCTTTCTATTGATCAAGCCTTAACTGTTTGATTCTCTAGGCTCCACATCTTACCTTTCCAACCGAACTTTACAGTAGAGGTCCCCCTGGTGGACGGTCAGTCCCCTGGCACCCAGCACCTTTCCCTGCACCCCACGATACATGTTACTGGGCGCCGCAGCCTTTGTAGCTCTAGGATATATAGAAACATAATTGTCTGATTTTATATTTCATTTTTTTAAAATAATTTAAAAGATTGTTATTTTTCATAAACACATTACCAGCCATTCATTTGATCTACATGTGCAGTGTATAAGGTTAAGTGTTAATCACCCTCTCTTACATATAACTTAATGTTCAGACCCCGGTTTCACAAAAAAAAAAAAAAACTTAAGTCAGGTTCCCTGGCTAAGAACTTAATTACCACGGTTAAATGGTCACATCTTAGCCTATCAGGAGCAGTGTAACAGCACTCTCATGGAAATCCTAGTCAACTAAGCCAAGGAACTGACTTAAGTTTTTTTTTTTTTTTTTTTTTTGTGAAATGGGGGCCAGTTCTCACCTGGTGGGAGATGCAGGTTTGTGCACATTGGCCTCTGACAAGGCTTTCCTGATCCGCCAGCTTTTCCTGATACTAGAAGGTTTGAAGGTGGAGTACCAGGATTTCTTTTCTGGCTGTGTGGAAGGAAGCTGGTGAAAACAAGATATTATTTCATCACATGTATACAAACAGAAAAAAGGTAAAAAAGAAACAATTAAATATGATACAGCAGTTTTTGAAAATCTATACAGCAAACTTAGAACTGCTTGTTTTTAAAACAAAAATTATTTCCAGGTCACCATTGGTAATGCCAACAGTATAATTAAAATGTAAGGTTACCTCAGCAGTATGTTTAATGGGGAAATTGTCAGAGCTCATAGCTTTGGAAACCAAAGGGCTCCCAGGTATAGGAGGTAAACTGTGGTTCTGTGACAGCCGTTTCTTCTCTATACCAGCTCCACTCCTTGATGGAGATGTACTCCTTGTGCGGTAAACCACCTTGGGCTCACTGTGATTTGGTTCTCCGGTGGTGTTCTCTGGAAAGTGGGAATTGCTGCTTGACTCAGATCTTATACATCTGGGAGATGCTTCTCCAGACAAATTAATTCCTTCATCATCCATACTTCTTTGTTCTCTCAGTATTGTTTCATCATCAGAAAACTTGGCATCTAAATGTGGTGAAACTTTCATTTCAATATTGTCTTGATTTTTCCCTAAAGCATGCCTTTCAGTTTCTCTTTGTTTCATAATTTGTTTGGCAACTGTGAATACCGAACCATTTCCTCGTCTGTAAACATTTGAGATAGGCATCTGTGCATTGAGGTCTGTCCCTCTTTGTAATAAGGGGCAGTTTGTGTGTATATTAGGAGTATCTGCTTCTTGCTGACTAGTTATCTTTGGTTTTTGGCTAAGTGAAGACCGCGTGGTGGAGTCATAGACTATTTGGGAGACAGTGCTTGTGTTTAGCTCTCCATTTTTAATTTCCGAAGGAGTGGAGAAATCCTCAGGCATGTCCTCCTTTGGGGTGGACCTCCCTGCTGGTGGCTCCTCATATAAACAGTCATCTAAATTAAACAACACATGTTCTTGTTCTGTTTTCCCACAAGACTCTGTCTGAGCCTCCTCCTGCTCCTCTTGAATAGTTTTATTTATAAACACTTCATTACTGTCCTGGGATGTTTGGCGGGAAGTAGTTGTATTTTCACCCAGTTCGGTGTTGTCTTGGGGTGTGGGAGACGTCACTTTATCTTCCGATAATTTGTCAAGTTGATCGGTAGAATCCTCTTGTTTATGGGAAGTCTGCAATGAGAAGTATAAAAATATAAAATAAAACAACTGAAAAGTTAAAAAAAAATCCTTTTTAAACACATGCATCAATACACAAGTCCACGAAATGACTCACAATGCAAAATGATTGTAAGTTTGTATCTTTCACCTCTTTCATTTACAGGACGCAATTTTATAACAATAGAAATGAAAGGGAAATAGTTCTAGTTTTATCTTCTTTCTGTCCTAGTTAATTAAAACAGTGTCTGGTGACAATCAGTAACTCAGTTGGTCTCTGATTGTAGTGAATTGCTGGATATTTGATAACATTGTTGAAGTATCAATTGACCCATTTTCACCATTTTTTTTTTTTTTTTTGATACTTGGAAAAACTCATCATATGCCTTTCACTTACATTCTTCAACCAAAGTGAAATGCCTTTCAAAATGACAAAAATTATTAAGTCACTACAGTAAGCCCAGACCAACAGATTGATACTGCTAGTGTAAGCCAAGATCACAAAATTCTACATGTACTTGTAGAAAACTAATTTTTGCATGAAAGTATATCTTAGACAGCAAGAAAGCCTATTGTTTCTCAAAGCATTAAAACAGTAATACATGTACCTGTGTCTGTCCATCTTCTACTACAGAGGGTTTCACCTCCATTTCAATCTGACCATGTTTAACACCATGAAGAGTGTACCATTCTGGTTCAGCCTAAAATACAGTTACCAATGTTTTGGTACAGTTTATATGTTTGTATGTTTATATATATGCTAGCATCCAGGCAGTAAAATATGCTATCTTTATATACTAACTCTATCTATCAGGCTGTAATTTGATTACCAGGTATCAGTATAATTTTGAAGACTTTATCATTTTTAACTAAAATCCAGAGCTGAAATCTCTCTAATATACACCAACCCAAACTTCTTCCACATGCTTCTTTTTCTTAAAACATAGGTATTTGCTACTGATAAGATAAATATGATCAGAAGCTGATAGAAAAAAGCATGATACTACCTTGCATCCATGTTGCTTCAACTCGTCTGCAGTAAAAGTGACTGATCCTAAAAAGTCCTGACCAAATGGGTCCTTGTCCCAAACTATCTGCAGAAGAAAGAAATTCAGATAACATGTTTATCAACTAGTCTAACACTGCCCATATAATTGGTTATGTATTTTTTCTTTTATCTTTTAGAAGATTAGATGGAGAAATATTGAAATATTGATTCCTCTCAATGTAAGATAACCACAAATAACATAATATCCATGGTTGACTGCAGTCAAGATGCGTGTATATAATATAATATAACATAGGGGAGCATTCACATAAACACATCGCACTAGTTGGGTCGATTCAACTCTGCGTGGGATCTCACTAAGTGCAATCAACTTAACTGAATGACATGCCTCCTTGAGCAGCTAGGTGGTTATTAACTGTCATGTGCCTTAATAATTACCCCTAACCGCTCAAGGAGGTCTAGCTGTCACACAATTAAGCTGATTCTACCAATCGCACTTAGCGAGAATCCCCAGCAGAGCTGGACCGACCCAACTAGTCCAATGTGTCTGCCTGAATGGGGTCTTATGTAGTGTATCGTTTACATCAGTACTGCATATATAAAAGAAACGTCCAATTTCAATATTATATGCTTACCTCTAATTATCAATGCTCTAAAGTTTTATTTAAATCATAAGCATTGAGTATACTTACAATGTCCATGTATTCGTCACATTTTGGCAGCTGCAGTGTGACCATCTCATTCCACACTGGGTTCAAAGTGTTCTTCTTCACCTTGGACTTGAACTTCCTCACACCATTCACCTTGATCTCTATGAATGGATCACTGGAGCCTGCTCAATGGAAATGTGCTCTTATTAACTGCTCCCTCCACACAACTATATCTATATTATATAAACTATGGACACACTAAACAAGTTTAATTTTGTTTAGTGTGTCCTACAATTAACTACGTATCCAATAGCTCTTCCTACTTCTGAATCATTTGTCTTATCTCATCTATTGCGCAAAGATAAGACAAGTGGAGTGGAATGATTAGAATAGATTTTTCTACTTCTCTTATCTTTCCATAAAATGACTGATATAAAGGTTTAACTGCTCAATATTCCAGTGAAACAGCATAGGCACAATCAACAACTGTGTTTTCTCTGTTCACATCAGCAGCCAGTCTCAGCTTGTATTATTTACCACTCAAATAATAATAATAATAATAATAATAATAATAATAATAATAATAATAATAATAATACGTTTATTGAGCACTAAATGATATGAAAAAACATTTGCAGGCTCATTTGACTAAATTATTTAAACAAGATATAAGGATATACATTTTAAAAGTTAAAACTTTCATCATTTGACATATAAAACCAGCTGTAAAATATAAATTTCACTTGATTCTCATCTATAATGTAAAAGACTCCTTATTAAAAAAGACATTCACAGTAATAAGAAATTGTGCAACTCCAAACACAACACCTTACCATTCATGTCCATGGCCATCAAATTTTTGCCTTGAATCAGGTGCAGCTCCACCAGGCCATACCTAAGACCTGAGATAGAACAAGACATACACAACAGTTCTTCTGAAGTACCTGGTATCATATACCTTCTAATTATGGCAGAAAAATACAAAGAATCCTTATCACAGTTAACTTTGCCCAACAAGGAGTAAATGTTGATACTTCACACTCTCATGGTATAATCAGATATAAGTTTTATGATATATATTTAAACATATAGAAAATGAGAGATAACAGGTGCTTAGTTTATGATTTACCTTAACAGGTTAGTGAAGAAGTACTGATAGCAAGATACGACTTGGGCCACCCTCCACAAATTTAATGTTCTACTGGCAAATATTTTCAAGATTGCAATTTGGAGTGTTCAAAATAAAATCAAAACAGCATCAGGAGCTCATTACCAAGCACGACAACAGCTATCTATGTGGAGAAAGATTTTGCTGAAAAATTTATTTTATTTACATTGCAATTATCATTTTGATACTAAACATTTTGTGAATTTCCCCTTTATGGCTTTTGTGTTTTAAATCATTGTTTGCCAGTAAAACAAAATATTAACCAAGGGTGGCCTGAGACATAATATTGAGGCTTAGGGACTGTTCAGAAGAAGTTGGGTTGCAATAGCTATCGTGCACTAACTCTGCGGGGGCTCTCACAGAATGCAATTAGATTAACAGACTAACAAATGCCTCCTCTTGATGTTGAGTAGAATAAAAAAAAGCTGGTGATTATATGAGTATGTTGGAAACAAGAGGAGGCATGTTAGTCCAACTGCATTCAGCAAGAGTCCCCATGGGATTACTGCACAGTAGCTGGTACGATAGATTCATTGTGAAAGGCCCCTAGAAAATGAGTCAAGCACCTACTGTGGGTCAGGGTGAACTCCTGGATCTCTCTGTGACGGGCATTCATATGTAACAGCTGGAGGAGGAAAGATAAAACACAAACACATCAAAACAGGATGAGAAAGCAATACCGGAATATATTACAGGTTCATATATTAATTCAAACCAAAGATAAGGTGCATTTGATTCAGTGCGATACTGAAGAAAAATCTATAACTTTATTTTGCTCAATTTATTACTGCTCATATTGTTATTAACTGTATATGGACTAAGTGAATAATTAGTAGTCTTAACATAGTAGTCTTAGCTAATACTCTTATTATTTTTAGATTTAAACATCTATCATGCCATATTCAAAGATAATACTGAAATCAAAAGGGGTAGCAGACCTAGTTTAATCTATAAAGAAAACATTTCTGATAAAATAATGAAGCCCATCTGACAATGTTTTGAGTGAATCACTACGTTATAGTTCATGAAATAAACTGAATTTCTACTTCTAAAAATCATGCTTAAAAGAACATGATTTCTCTTAAATGTGCTCCTCATCTCAATAATAAATGCAAAATTCTACTTTAAAATTAATCTTCAGCTGGTTTATTCACCATTAGCTAGGCAAACAGAAAAATGCAGTGAATAAAAAAGGTCCAACATGCACCTTAGTGACATTCTTCTTCCCAAAAAGCAACATGGAAGCCATGCTAAGAGCAGAGAAGAGATTGCACAGATACCTTGCCAACCCTGCGAACACCCTGCACCAAAAACTAGAAAAGAAATATGACATGCAAAGAAATGACCTGAAACAGTGAATTTGCAGTCACATACCAAGTGTTAAGAGTGATTGACAATTTGCACAATTTGTTATCATTCTTTGAAAATGCATAAATATGTCATGAAGCAACCTAATTTTAAGCCAGATCCCCTTTTTTCCAATCCTGGTGTTTTTGGAGCTGGGTATGAAGCCATAAATACTGTGATCAGCCACCTTTGATCTAAGAAGGCAGAAGACCCTGTTGAAGGGTACATGTGCAGAGATGATATTCCCAGTAATATCCATGTAATGAAGGTGATAGTCCCAGTTATTTCCATGTGATAAAGGGAGGAGAGGGGGAAGGAGGATCTGGCTTTATTTTGGACTGGTGTTGAATATGCTTGGGGCCGTGCAAGTATGTACCATTTATGCATATGGCTAAGCTTTTATGAGTATAATACATTTATAGTAGTTAATTGATTTACTGAATTTTGCCCCCCCCCCCAAATAAAAATAAATTAAAACAAAAATTAAAACATTATTCCTCAGTAGTAGGTCTGTTCTGGGCTTATGCCTACAGATGTGTTCACGCTATGTGCTTTAGAATAAATTGTCTTGTGTGTGTGTGTGTGTGTGTGTTTTTCATGGTAAAGGTTCTTCTTCGTAAGCTTATCGTGCCCCATTACTACACTACTGTGTTCACTAATATTAGTGTGCAACTACAATCATCAATTAACTCAGCATGCCATTCTCCAGTTAGTGTCCGACCTAAGGATACCTTGTCGCTATATGTCTTCCATTTTCTCCTGAGCAGCTTAGGAACTAAATCCTGCAACTTTAAAGCAGAAGCCACATCTGGCCATCTGTAGCCAAGCAACAAGCTAACATTGTGAGTGTGCTGCCAACCTACACACTACTCAAATTATTCATCTTGAAAGAGTTCATAGATTATTATGAAAGTTTAGGTAATATTTGAAGTAAGTTATGAAATTATTTCAAATTCAATATAGCAGTCAAACTGACACTCGTGATCAAGATCTTTCATTTTTTCCTAAAGTTTATTCATCAACCTGTGCTTGTATGCTTCAAAGCTGCATGCAAAACAAAATGATCATAAAGCACTGAAACTATCACTTCTGAGATGAACAGCAATGCACATCTCCACTAAAAGTAGCACTTCTACCGTAATACCATTTGTACCCAAGTTTTCACTAACTATACCCCAAACTATGTATCCCCTGCTGCTTTAAATTAAGATTAGTCTTAACAAATAAGTTATATGTCTCTATCAATGATAAGTTTGATGTTTTTCAGATTTCTATTCAAAGTTCCAGTTAATGTACACATTCATGTGAAAATATTTGGTAAATATGATACATTTATCATCCAACTTTCTAGAAGAAATTTACTGAAATAAGTCAATGATGTAAGATTACATCAAGAAAAAACTTACAGCTGATGTAGAATTAGATCGTCGTTTAGCAATGACATTGTTGTCAGGATAGTGGACATGATGACAGTCACTAGATTCTGAAAGAAAAAAATCAGTCCATATACATATATCAGTTCACGATCAACAAAATATCATTTTAACAGAATTCATTCAATGACTTCCTTGATAATATATCAATGACTTCCTTGATAATATACAATTTAACCTTAAGGACATGAACAGTTAGACAAAGAAGAGGATGATTAAAGGACTTATTCACATCGTAGCAGTTCTCACCAGAATGTGCCACAGAGGCGATGGGTCTGAACAACAAGGAGACAGTAATGGACCCTGAGGTGTTAGGGGCAGTGCACTGTGGTCCTGCTTTCAGTGGAATTTTCTGCCTCACTTTCCTTATTTCTCCCTGAGAGAGAGGAATGATTAAAGAAACACATCAGTGGCTCATAAGATTTTTTCTGAAACATAAGTTTATAAACAAATATTTCAATTTTCTGGTACATTAGTTTAGCTCTTTTGGTAATCCCCACGTTTCCTCTCCCTATCACTACAGAAAAAAATTTATCTCCACCAGGAAAGCCAAAAATTAATGTAAACTACTGCTTAAAATCCTAACAATATCTCTTGTAAAATAAAAGACGTTCATGAGTATAAGCCGACCTCATTCAGTGTTATCACTGCACATCCCAGCAATTCTTCCTCCATATCTGACTTCTTGCTCTGGTCTATAACAAGTACAGAAACAGGAACCTAAGGAAAAAAAGGGGGAAAATGATTGTATTTTAAAAATATTTTGACTATTTTTATATACTCGCCAATCCCTGTATAATGTTCATATTCCCTTTTTCAAAGAAAATCACTTCAATTCTTTCATTCATAAAAGTCATAAAACTTTCTCATTTCTGATCAAGCACACTTTAAATCTAGAATTTTGAATATCTTATTATGAATAATCAAAGAACAGTTTGACACATAAATAAAAGTAAATCAAGGCAGTCTAGTTAATTTTAGTCTAATATATATATATATATATATCAGACATGACTTTGTGCTGTTAGAAAACAGCAGGAGGAAATAGCACTGTATTATATGGGCAACCATCCAGGGGCACTTAAGTCAGAAAACCTGCCAAGAAAAAATTGGATTTCCAATTTGAAGCAGACAAAATCATGTTTAATATCTACCTTAGAGTAGTCTGCTACAAAAAATTCTGCAAAGCAATCCCACTTTGGATTTTTACTCAGAGCTTCTGGCAGAGAGGTCTTCACCTAGCAGGAATAGAGCAAATTTTCCAGACACAATTAATTTTTCATTGAAACAGAGCTTCATTTTTAAAGATATTTCATAAATGTTTATACTATATTATAGATCCAACATGTATACTGCTCTTTAGAAACACCCAAAACATTATATGACTGTACCTTTTAACAATGAAATTAATCTGTAAAATGTCACTGTTACATTACCATGATTCGCATCATGTCTATGACATAATAAGAAAAATACTGTGTTTACCCGTCTTCTGTTCACCACCAGAACACAGTATGGGCTGACTGAGTCTTTAAACTTTGAGCTTAACTCCTTCGCACTATGGACATGGACATATAGTACTCCTGCATTGCAAGCTGAATAAATAAGGATAAATTGGATGTAAATATGTAAAATTTGCCTTGAGAGATTATTCTGTACGTGATTTAGTAATTTTGGTTTTATTTAATAAAAGTAACAAATACTGGATCCTGACATCTTTTTTTATGTCCAAAAATTACATCATTTGATTCAGAAAAATGTTTATTTTGTTAATCAACTTTTCATTGAGGCAAATTTCAGATGCCATTGGTTATAAAAATGACTTGCTGATAAAGACAATTATCAATTTCATGGTATGTAACTCTATGGAAAACCACATGCCTCATTGTCTTAGGAAGTATATAATAAATTTAAATGTTAATAAAGGCGTACACTTTTCTTCGTCTCCTTGCTCAGACAGAGGAGCCTCTAGTTCAACACGAGGCAGAGGCGTGTATGTCATGTGCATCTCCAACTTAACAGCTCCTTTCAGCGCTAACAAAGTCTTCTTATCCAGGTCAACTTTATAACTTAAAAGCGACAAAGGGCAAAAAAAAAATCATTAGAAGATTGTTTAACCTTGAAATGTATTATGAGTTGAAATATATTCAACATTGTTGATATAAATTATCATTACCAGACATAATTTGTGAGTAGTCAAAAGTTCTCTGATACATGAGAATACAGCATATTCAAACTTTTTCAAAAAAATAAACATAAATAATTTATAGATAAATAAAATGCATGTTATACAAAGAAATTTCACAAATGATCAAGCAAAACTTCAATAATCATTACACTTACTTTCCATGTTTCTCCAATTTGTAAGATTTCAGAGGAACTTCAAACTGTGCCATTGTGGATGAATGGAGTAGTTTTCTACATTTTAATTTAATAAAAATCTGAAAAAATATTTAAGTGAAAACACATAATTGCTCTACTTTACAGTCGAAACAAACAAAGTTAAAGAAATAAATGGACATTTTTGTTATTTAATGAAAAACAGTTGAGGTTTCTAAGAACAAATAAGCCACAAGAGAACGACACACGTGAATGTAACAGCTAAAATGTCTCCTAAAACTAACTAGGTACAAGTGTCTCCTTTTCTGATGGAAATTCATCTGTGTAGTTCTTCAATTATGATTTCATATAAAACGTTCTGCACTAAAATTGAAGCTGTACCTTACAGAGTTCTCATAGTAACACACACGAGGAGGGTCAGGGAATGACTGAAAGCTCTGTAAGGTACAGCTTCAATTTTAATGTAGAAAGTGAAAGGTTTAATCTTATAACATAAGTGTCTCCTTAGTAAAAACTTGCACTACCTTGTCATGTTTAGGGTTATGCACCAAGAAGGACAGCATACTCTGCCAAGAGGCCTCTCCCTTCACATTGACTGTGTACTTCTTCTGGTCACCCAGCTGGACCACACAGTAATGAACAGCATCTGAGAGAAACAATATCACACAATGGTTCACACACACATTTTAATCCAATTCACAAACCAACATTTTACACCAATTCATAAACCAAAACTTTTTTTACCAAAATTTTATCATTGCATGCATAATTTATATATTTTCCTCATACAATTTGCAAAGAAAGAAAAGTCCAAAGTACTATAATTCTCTAAAAGTATCTTATTATTTCTTCATTTCTTATCAAACAGATTCAATAAGGAGGAAGTCCCATATTATATATTATATATGTCGAAGACAGGTGAATCTGGTATAAAACATACTTTACTGGAAAATTATACGATAAATTGCAACACACCTGTGTTTTTCAGGTTGACCTTATACCTGGTAGATTGACCTTATCTTAGAGGTTGACCTGACCCTACAAGTTGATATTATCTAATAGGTTGACCTGATCTAGGTGGCTGACCTTATCAGACGGGTTGACATTACCCATTATGTTGACCTTATCAGAGAGATTGACCTGGCCTTGTAGGTTCACCTTACCAGGTATATTGAACTTATCTGGCTGGTTGACCTTATGTGGTTGATTGACTTTCCTTGGTACATTGTCCTTTACCAAGAGTTTGATCTGACCTTGGAAGTTGAACTTATCTGGTACATTGTCCTTATCTAATAGGTTGATCTCACCTGGTAGGTTTAACTTATCTGATGGGTTGATCTCACCTGGTAGGTTTAACTTATCTGATAGGCTGATCTCACCTGGTAGGTTTAACTTATCTGATGGGCTGATCTCACCTGGTAGGTTAAACTTATCTGAAAGGTTGATCTCACCTGGTAGGTTTAACTTATCTGATGGGTTGATCTCACCTGGTAGGTTTAACTTATCTGATGGGTTGATCTCACCTGGTAGGTTTAACTTATCTGATGGGTTGATCTCACCTGGTAGGTTTAACTTATCTGATTGGTTGATCTCAGCTGGTAGGTTTAACTTATCTGATAGGTTGATCTCACCTGGTAGGTTTAACTTATCTGATGGGTTGATCTCACTTGGTGGGTTTAACTTATCTGATAGGTTGATCTCACCTGGTAGGTTTAACTTATCTGAAAGGGTTGATCTCACTTGGTGGGTTTTTAACTTATCTGATGGGTTGACCTTACCTGGTAGGTTTAACTTATCTGATGGGTTGACCTTACCTGGTAGGTTTAACTTATCTGATGGGTTGCCCTTACCTGATAGGTTTAAATTATTTNCTTCTTTCATTCATAAAAGTCATAAAACTTTCTCATTTCTGATCAAGCACACTTTAAATCTAGAATTTTGAATATCTTACTGTGAATAATCAAAGAACAGTTTGACACATAAATAAAAGTAAATCAAGGCAGTCTAGTTAATTTTAGTCTAATATATATATCAATGCTGATATATATATATATCAGACATGACTTTGTGCTGTTAGAAAACAGCAGGAGGAAATAGCACTGTATTATATGGGCAACCATCCAGGGGCACTTAAGTCAGAAAACCTGCCAAGAAAAAATTGGATTTCCAATTTGAAGCAGACAAAATCATGTTTAATATCTACCTTGGAGTAGTCTGCTACAAAAAATTCTGCAAAGCAATCCCACTTTGGATTTTTACTCAGAGCTTCTGGCAGAGAGGTCTTCACCTAGCAGGAATAGAGCAAATTTTCCAGACACAATTAATTTTTCATTGAAACAGAGCTTCATTTTTAAAGATATTTAATAAATGTTTATACTATATTATAGATCCATCATGTATACTGCTCTTTAGAAACACCCAAAACATTATATGACTGTACCTTTTAACAATGAAATTAATCTGTAAAATGTCACTGTTACATTACCATGATTCGCATCATGTATATGACATAATAAGAAAAATACTGTGTTTACCCGTCTTCTGTTCACCACCACAACACAGTATGGGCTGACTGAGTCTTTAAACTTTGAACTTAACTCCTCCGCACCATGGACATGGACATAAAGTACTCCTGCATTGCAAGCTGAAAAAATAGGGATCACTTGATGTAAATATGTAAAATTTGCCTCGAGAGATTATTCTGTATGTGATTTAGTCATTAAGGTATGATTCAATCAAAGTAACAAATACTGAATCCTGACATCCTTTTTTATGTCCAAAAATTACATCATTTGATTCAGAAATATGTTTATTTTTTTAATCAATTTTTCATTGGGGCAAATTTCAGATGCCATTGGTTATAAAAATGACTTGCTGATAAAGACAATTATCAATTTCATGGTATGTAACTCTGTGGAAAACCACATGCCTCATTGTCTTAGGAAGTATATAATAAATAAAAATGTTAGTAAAGGCGTACACTTTTCCTCATCTCCTTGCTCAGACAGAGGAGCCTCTAGTTCAACACGAGGCAGAGGCGTGTACGTCATGTGCATCTCCAACTTCACAGCTCCTTTCAGTGCTAACAAAGTCTTCTTATCCAGGTCAACTTTATAACTTGGAAGTGTCAAAGGACAAAAAAATCATAAGATTGTTTGACATTGAAATGAGTTGAAATATATTTAAAATTGTTGTTATGAATTATCATTATTAGTCATGATTAGAGCTCACAGTGCGTAATCAAAAGGTCTACTGTACATGGCAACATCAGCATATTCAAACTTTTTCTAATATATTTACTGTCTTAGTGATAACACGTATATTTGCAACAAACAAAAAATAAAATGCACATTATACAAAGAAATGAAAAAAGGTATTTCATAAATGATCAAGCAAAACTTTGATGATTACTTCACTTACTTTCCATGTTTCTCCAATTTGTAAGATTTCAGAGGAACTTCAAACTGTGCCATTGTGGATGAATGAAGTAGTTTTCTACATTTCAATTTAATAAAAATCTGCAAAAAAAATAAATAAGTGAAAACACACATAACTGCTTACATTCAAAAATCGATTTAAAGAAATAAATGGGCATTTTGTTATTTACTGAAAATACAGTGCACTTTCTAAGAACAAATAAGCCACAAGAGAGTGGCATATATCAATGTTACATCAAATATCTCCTAAAACTAAAACAAGTATCTCCTCAGTAAAACTTTGTACTACCTTGTCATGTTTAGGGTTATGAACCAAGAAGGAGAGCATACTCTGCCAAGAGGCTTCTCCCTTCACATTGACTGTGTACTTCTTCTGGTCTCCCAGCTGGACCACACAGTAATGGACAGCATCTGAGAGGAACAATATAACATTTTACTCCAATTCATAAACTTTTTTACCAAAATTTTATCATTGCATGCATAATTTAAATATTTCCCTAATACATTTTGCAAAGAAAGAAAAGTCCAAAGTAAAATAATTCTCCAAAAGCATCTTATTATTCCTTCATTTCTTTTCAAACAGATTCAATTAGGAGGAAGTCCCATATTATATATTATATTATGTTACATGTCAAAGACAGGTGAATCTAGTATAAAACATACTGTACTGGAAAATTATAAAATAAACTGCAACACACCTGTTTTTTAGGTTGACCTTATCTTACAGGTTGACCTGACCCTACAAGTTGATTTTATCTCATAGGTTGACCTGATCTAGGTGGCTGACCTTATCAGACGGGTTGACATTACCCATTATGTTGACCTTATCAGAGAGATTGACCTGGCCTTGTAGGTTGAACTTACCTGGTATACTGAACTTATCTACCTGGTTGACCTTATGTGGTTGATTGACCTTCCTTGGTACATTGTCCTTTACCAAGAGGTTGATCTGACCTTGGAAGTTGAACTTATCTGGTACTTTGTCCCTATCTGATAGGTTGATCTCACCTGGTAGGCTTAACTTATCTGATAGGTTGATCTCACCTGGTAGGCTTAACTTATCTGATGGGTTGACCTTACCTGATAGGTTTAACTTATCTGATGGGTTGACCTTACCTGATAGGTTTAACTTATCTGGTGGGTTGACCTTACTGGGTGGATTTAACTCATCTGATGGGTTGACCTTTCCTGGTAGGTTGACCTTATCTGATAGCTTGACCATACCAAGTAGGTTAACCCTACCAAGCATACGGACCATATCTGACAGCTTGCCATTACCTGGTAAGTTAAAGACACTGGTTGAAGCCCTGCATATCTGTCCACCACTGAGTACCACTGTGACAACACCCACAGCTGAAACATAAACAGCACCAAGCACGTTACCAACCATGTCTCCAAGGATGCTGATGTATTTTAGTTTTCTTTTGAAGATATTTTTAATGTAGGGCTTTAAGTCAATTAAAAGGATTTTGTAAGTAGTTTCATCTGTTCCATCTGTTGTCATTAGCGTCAACGAATTGTGCAATTTCTTTGTCATCTGTACTTCAAATAGTCACTTACCTTTGATACGTTAATATTTTGTTCACATGCCAAGTAGTATAAACAGGCAAACTAACAGTTAGCTGGCAAGGTTTCTTACATGCAGCTTGTTAGCAGAGAGATATGTTTTTTGTGTGTGAAATAATAATTCTCATAGAAATCTTATTTTTAAATTAAATATTATTTTGTCACCACTTCATATGAACTATTAATTTCAGTGCTCAGACTGCCTTCTTAGATTGTATTCGGCCAGGTCTGTGGGTCACCACCACATTTGGTGTATGTGTAAATTAATTTTGTGAAACATTCATTGTAAGACATCAGGAAGCTTAAGCAAACCTGCCAATAGCTCAACCCTTTCCCATTTCATATCATTAATTAATCATTTTTGTTACATTTATACATTTTACATTAAATCGGTAATTATTTTGTTTATATCACATCTGTGCACCTGATCTAAGGTGGTGCCTGCAGCTGACATTTTGACCAACATCCATTGGCCACCATAAAATAGATCAAAATGATGGCTGCAGGCAACAGTGTTGGTTGAAGCATTGTAGCCATGCAATACCTAAGCAACTGTGTACAGATCTAAGCTTTAATGAGAACAAATAAGACTATTATTACCACCAATTTCAGGGATCATAGCCAACAACTATTTGTGATACAATATAGGGTGCTGCCCAGCAGTTAAGCAATAATAATATAATAGAGCGCTGAAAACAATTATTATTAAAAAAGAGAAGAGTTGTGACAAAATATCAAAACTGAATAAAGATAATGAAGAACTAGTACATAAAGGTTAGGGAGAAAAGCCAATATTTAACAGATATGCCAATTTCTAAGCTAATCTTAGACTGGGTTCCCATACCTAAATCGATCTAACAGGATCAATCCATCTCCAAGAGGTTTCTTGCTAAAATTGCTTTTAAACGATAATTAATTACCCTCTAGCAGCTTCAATTGGGGTGACAGACATCTTAACCACTTAAGTTGATTGCAATTTAGCAAGAAGCCCCTCGAAGATAGATAAATCCACAGTTAGTACAAAAGGGTCTGGGAATGGTCCTTTTCAACACCACACACACCCACCACTAGATTTTGCTGTTGCTGAAACTGGTGTGGTAGGTTGACAAAGCTCTATGTCGATGTTGTTGGGGTCAACCAGTACGTCTGTGAGAGCCTCCAAGACCAGAGAGTGAAGCCAAGTTTTCAACAGGGGCAGCTCCATCACCTGCACTGCCTTGAGAATTCTAATGGAAAACCAGACTTCTGGCCTGAAATGAAAGCACTCTCTCAGTTTATTAGGAAAATCAACAATATTTTTGTTATTTCTTCATTGTTGCAACTCTAAGATGGCATTATCACATGGTAAATCTGTGTACCATTAAATTTTGAATATACAATCTTTAATTATACCCAAAACAGATCTTGAATGTCTAGGCAGATTTACTAACAGGAGTGCATTTGGCTTACATCCAATTGTCTACAGCATGCTGCCAAATGACACAATATGATTAACATAGCTTGTAATGTGTCTACTAAAACTTGTCTTATGTTTGCAAGCTTAACTTTAATACACCCGAGTCACAGAAGTAAATTATACATGTATCACTCAATTCGACAAGTTCCTATTTCAATACATCTGGTCAATTAGTCTTCTATTACATTTCAGATAAATCTTTTAAATTGAAACCAATTTGTAAATAAACACAAGAATGACTCCAATTACTAATGACTTGCCAGCGCTGGTACAAGTGAAACTTCATTGGCCATTTAGTGAACTTAAAAATTCACAATTTTTCCACCAAAACCTGTACATTATTAGGTAAGTAAAAAAAAAAAAAGAAAAGAAAAGAGAAAGAAAAAAAGCTTAATTCTAAAAATGAATCACTTGTCAATGTGTTTTTTAATTTTTCATGTACCAAAAATTTTAAAGCTATCCAGGCTACATTTCACCTTTCCACCAAATTTATCCTCCCATGGTATCGTGAGAATGAATTTGGTTGAAATGATGTAAAATTACCAACTAAAAGTTCTACTTTTCTCTTTTTAAAATAAAAAAAAATCAGCACTAGACATATCTTTCCTTACCTTTCCACAAAATACATAGTAAGTTTAGCAACATGGGGGAAGGGAACATCCATACTGAGGTGAAGGATTAGCTGGACCTTCCCTCTCAAACTTAATCTCTCCACTGCAGCCTCACAGTTCACACCCATCCTTTAAATACAAGTCAAACAATGAGAGGTCTATATTTTCTAATTTAAAAAAGACCTCTAAAAATCACCCAATATTTTTCTTCATTACCGCAAAAATGGCATATGTTTTTTTTTATATATTTATTAAATTATTTTGAAAAATGAAAACTACATATAATTACTCAAGAGGTCAAAAGATAAGTTGAGGTTAAGTAAAATAATGTATTCTTAGACTTAGTCACTATGAATGTTATTTGAAACAAATTAATAACCACTGTCAGAAAACTTGAGGGATGGCATGTGCACAAATGCCAAGGGTTGTTGGGATTATTATGCTCAAGTTGTGGAGGTGACAATTAAAAAACATTGCCCTAGGAGCTACAAATAATATGTCTCATCTTTACCAATATTACAGAGGGTTACCACACTCTTTTTCAAAACATTTTAGTTTTAATCGAACATTAATTTATATTTCTAATGCATGTCTAGGCCAAATCAGTGCCAGAAATGTGAAAACACATTTCCACTTATTTCCAATGAAATCATATCGTTGACAACCACTGATGAAAAAATGCACCTTGCTGAAGAGAATGCATACCTTCTTCCCCCAAGTCTTGCATGAAATATCATCTGGAATCCCTCATCACAGACACCTATGTCTGCCTCCAAGACAACCCTGTGAGACAGCGCCACCTTGAGGCCATCTGGAGGACTGTCAATGTTTAGCCATGTCGCCTGTTCTGTGATGCCATCAGAGCTTTCAAATACACGGACATTTTTGACATGTGGTGTGTGGTTGCCCAGGGTGAAACTTCTCACTTCCATTTGATCTAAAAAAAAAAATAAAAAAAATAAAAAAATAAACAGGAAATAAGTTATATCACAGTGACTGGTTGAAGGGGGAAATGGGTGAAGTCCACGTTTTTGTATTTATAATAATCAAAAATGCAAGACATTGAAGAGATAATGTTAATCGATTTCAAGTACATCTTTTTATATAATCAACAGATCGCTACAAAAATTGCCCAACTTGTTAAAAGCAGTATGTGGCCTACAGATGGATTTTAGAGATTGTTATAATGAAATTGTTTGTTTGAAAGTTATTTCCCTTTCAACCATAATATGGAGTAATTTCAGTGTACATAAAAAAGGTGTAAAGATAGATGCATATCAGATCTCTCAACTGTAATTTCTCTCTATAATGTATATAATTTGGTCTATTACTGAACCTCATCATTTTGGTCACTCGCCATTTGAACATCTTTCTGATGTTTTCCTAAAGCTCTAAATCAACATAAAAGTCAATATATATGAGCCAAGCAAAAGGACAACATACTAAGACCACACAATTAATGGCATGAATTAAACTATACTTCCAAAGACACCTGCATTTAAAGGTGACACTGCACAAAAGCATGAGAAATGGCTGCTACACCTTCAAAAGCTCTTTTACCTGACCCCCCATATATATAACATACAGTATGCTATATTTAACTTAGGTGCATGTATTCAGGCAGGCTGAACTAAGACAGGTTTTAAAGCACTTATTTCTACTGTCAGTTATCAACAGCATACAACCCAGGCCAACATAGTGCCATTCAGTGCATATGAACCAATGCTGCATTCTTGAGAGAGTGGATCTTTACTATGTGACTGGTGGTGTCAATATAGAAAGCCACATGACCACTCTATTGTGTGTATTTATCAACATGTCCTTTCATACATGGGCTTCTTCACTATATCAAAAGAGATGGTCTGTAATTAGAGTCCACTGACTATATCACTGCAGTGCATCTGTTAGCTTCTGTAGCGATACAGTAATGGGGTTGCGATCTTCTCATCTGATATCTCTGAAATTAATTTTGTTGCACAACAGAGCTTAACAGTTTATCTCTACAGAGCTTTTTCAATTTAATAGATTGCTCCTATGAATAGCTCCCGCAGCCATGCCAAAAGTGAAAAATGCTACTTTTTTAGCTGTTGTCACAGCAAAAAAGGAGCAATCTTATTTTGTCTGAATGAGTTTTTCAAGTACATGAGTATTTAAAACATAAAACTTTTCCATTTATTATAATACCCATAGATAAATAAAGGTCTAGAGGATATCAGTAAGATTATCTAAACTTTAAAGACAGTTTTAATTTTAAAATAACAGACAAAATGCAAGTAACCCACATATTCCTTGCAGTAAAAATCTGGGTTTTTAAGTTGGTGAAAGAACTTATAAATTATCGTACATAACACAGCAATAGGGAGATGTGTCATTCAGGCAGACACAGCTGATGAAAAATTGTGGATATTTAATTTACGCAAATCACAAGTACTTTAAAGTATGAACAGAAGTCACTATTAATATTCAAGTGCAATAACTGATGTCAAAAAGTATTGGTTTGTGTATTTTTCTCAAAGACAGAAGACCTTCAAAGGTCTGACTTTTGTTAAGGCCAAACACCTACATGTACATATACAATTACTGACATGAGATTAAATACTGGTGAAATCAATTGCATATTTACAGTCTCTTGCACTATAATGAAAATAGATTCGTCCCACTGGTCGTTTAAGTAAGAGGGTTTTGCCAAAATATCTCATTTGTATAGCAGCCTCATTCAACTTCATAAAATGGGGCAATAAATGTAAATCACACAGCACTTCATAAGAGCTTTAATGTCAAGCTTGATTTTCATGTCAAATTGTAATAAGAATGACTGTGTGCAAAAGCACTGATCCTTACATATATGGACCACTTCAATATTATAATACTCTTGATACTGAGGACCACAAATTACATACACACATTCTTGCATTTAACAGGGACCAAGTCAATTTTTCTACTAATAGCAAAGCACTTGAAATACCCCTCCCCCCCCCCCCCACACACACACACACACATATAAAACTATGCTTTCAAATATTTTAAACACATATATAAGTGTATGGATGAGTGTAGATGTATTAGGAAATATAAAAGTTTTATCATCAAATGATACAGAAGCACATTACAAGAAAATGAATGTGTTCTTACCTATAAATAATGGCTTGCTCTCCCCATTTAATGCGGAATCCAGGTGACTTTTGATTATGCCAAATAAAGATGTTGAGGAAAAAACCCACCTGCAATTAAATAATGAGTTATAACAAGGGTCATCATTTTTTCTTTTGTTACTATTCAGAAATTAGTAAAAAATTGTGTACTGACTGAAGAAATTAATTCAGATTGTGATGAAAGCTAACTGCAAAAAAACATGAAATCAAACTACTCAAGAAATACAGACAAAAAATTACTTGGAGATTAAGCAAAAATGATTTAGCATAATGTCATAACTGGTTTAAAATATAAAATAAACTTTTAAAAACTGTTTGGCTAAAGCAAAAATCATATAAGTGTGCATCCAGGTAACTATTTCTATTTTCCCAACAGAGAACTATAATTTCTATTTTTCCAACAGCTGCCTGCAACCCCCCACCCCATATCCACCCCCCCCCCAAGTCCACCAGAATGCAAAGGATACAGTTAAGCCTTTGATTTCATCTCTCCATCTTACTTATATAATATGCATCTGAATAATAGCTGAAGGTGGCCTTGCACAGGTATACACAGGTATCTTTTCACCTGAGAGTCTTTACAGCACTTATTTTAGTTCCTTAAGATTTCAACCTTAAAGTCCCACTGTACTTTTCCTCAGATAAAATGATAATATTACAGGGGAAGATTGAGGCCGTCTTCTGGGTCTTTCGGAAGATGGTCAGATTTTCAAGTTTACATTGACAGTCAGATTTTCAAGTTTACATTGATGGATATCTAATTTTTTCTGTCGGAAGACAGTCAAAAATGGAGGATGGATCAACAAAGATAATTTAGAAGACTGTCAGAAAATATCTCTGGATCTGGCCCTGAATTACATACTGTAGGTAATCAACTGCATCATAAAAAATTAATGAGTAAAGGTGCTATATACTTAATTCCTACTTATCTGATAATTAGGTTTAAATGCAGTATGCCAGATAATAGGGGTTTCAACCTGCATGTGTGCACACATTTGTACATCACTGATTTAATATGAATATCTCCTAAATTTCATCACTTTTTAGTTCAATTAATCTTTTCACAATAAGGTTCCTTGTTAAAAATTCACATAGAAAAAATTGTTAAAACAACACTATTTCAAGACAAAAGTATTTCTGAAAATCAAAACAGGAATTAACTTTTTTGCATAGTTCTCAATAACCATTTTCCTGCTTTGAAAGATAAATATTTTCATTTTCAATTTGTACTCTACTAGTACTTGGAGCAGTCCCTTCACTGATCTTGAATAAAAAAAAAAGACATGTGCCTCACTGTATTTGGCTCTGCACTTAACATTTTATCTGCCTGATACCCTAAAACAATTGTGATATAAGAGACCCCCACACCAAATATTTTGAACCAGGCTTGTCTGGCATTCCATCATTTCATAGTGGGATGTGATATGATATTCAAAAAATGTCGACATTTGACTGCCTGCTAAGTCCAGATCAATCATCAGACTTTTTCAATCTGACAGCAAAATAGTCTAACATACATCAGTCTTGTATATCTGTGTATGTTCATAGCCCAGTAAAGACTATATCGGTTTCTACACATACATGTATTACTATATTTGACAGTCTACAATAGTATATTAATAATTCATGAATTATATTTGCACTTGTTAGTCCCAGTTTGTTCATAAAATTTCCTGTCTAGTCTAGATTAATTATAGGTCAAATACTAAACTCAAGGGCCTCAAAATTAATTTGCAATTGTTTATTTGCCAGTAAATTATATTGCCTTTAATTTAATTGAGCAAGGTCAAGTGTACATAATAAGGCGGCTAATATGCACTTCCCACCCACACAGAAAAACAAACCTGCCACTGTCTATTATGATTGTGGCTGCAATATTTGATCTACACTGGTTTATATCACTAGTTCATTTTATTACCCAACAGCCATGAGCAGAAAAAACTTTTACTAGTATGTATACACGGTGTGTATATACTCACTGTGCCTACATAAAATTACAACTGGCAACATATGTAGAACTAATTACTGGGTGGGTAGAGCTGCATACAACATGGTCTAAGGCAAGAACAAGCCTCTCTGTGTTGACATATAGTGCAAACTGGGATAATGGCTTGATGGTCTATGAAGATAACTCTCCTTGAATACTGGAAACTTTGGCAGTTAATTCACATTAAGTGTGGAGTTTCAATTTCAAACTTAAAGACCAAAATTAAATTATTATTATTGTTATTATTTATGGATCACTTGTCCTACATAAATTCAGTGGTTTCCATGTATTCATATCTTGGAGGCACAGAGGCATTGATTTTGGAGTGGGACAAGTGGATTTTCAGACCTACTTACCTGTTAAGGCAAGTGCCTAAAATTGAGTTAATTTTATGCAAGCCTGATCTAAGCTAGGTCTCTTTGGAGAATAATTTTCTTTTCAAACAAATTTATCAGTATGTAATATATTTTACACTGCCCATTTCCTCTCTCACTATATATTTACATCTTAATGCCAGTAAATGTCTAGGAGGTATCCTAAATATAAAGCAAAGTGAGTCACTAATTTTTTTCCATCATATCTAATTCCACTTCACACTACATATATATAATCTTGTTTGTTTAAGAAAGACTGATTGGGGCACACCTGCTTAATAAATTAAACCAAGAAAGCGAACATTAACGCCAGTTACAAGTGCAGATCTTGTATTAGATCTATATATTGTGCAAACCTTCTCCCCCCCCCCAAACCAGTATAAACGCTTTCATGTCCATGTATTAAATAATAATAATAATAATAATAATAATAATAATAATAATAATAAGTTTACTGAGCACTAAATGATATGAATACATTTGCAGACTCACTAGACTACATTATTTACACAATATATCACAATATATATTTATATATGTACATTTAAATAAGGATTAACTACCATTAACCGTACGTACCAGCGGTTCACTATAAAGTTGACCCATTCTGCCGTCTCTCCATGGGCCAGTGCCCTCTTCCTGTGGACCAAGATCTCATGCTGTCGGTATTCAGAATCCGTTAAATGTAGTAACTTAGTTCTCCATATCAGAAATAAGACAGAAAGCAAAACGAAAACCCAAGTGTAGGAAAATCCATAACACCCTATCACCCAAGCTGAGGAAGTGACACTAATGCTGAGTATGTAAAATCTCAGCTGGTTCTTTCTGTGTTTCTTCAAATACATGGATAAAGTCTGAGCGCCCTGCGTCTCATTTTCCTCCATCCTGTCCTGAAACAGGCAACAGTCTGTGTCTCTGTGTCTTTAAGCATATAGATATATCTACAGGGACAGAAGTACTACAGCAAGCGACTCGCGTGAACTGCGCTCTGTTTAGCACTTGCACAGTGCTGCCCCCAGCGGCAGGGCACAACACTAAGCACACTGAGGACAACACCACTGCTTTCAAGAACCACATGCCACAAATAAAATGTTTTAAATAGACAGTGTATATTCTTAAATAGCTCAAAACATTACATCGGCATCAAACATTTATGATAGTAGTTGAATATTGTGGAGATCGAGATATGGGCCATGAATCCGATGGTCCTTGAATTTTGTTGGCTATTTTCCCACTCTTGAAAAGCAAGTAGGCGGCTAGACCTTTAAATAATTCATCGCTTTGTATCTTTTATTTCAGCTAACAATTTCGCTGATGTCTTCGTTCAGTAATTTACTGAACTTCACGCATCAGTATTATATTAAAATAATATAATATAATTTAATTTAATATAATAAAAATTATGGTTATACAAAGAGAATGTCACCATTTTTTTACTTTTAAAAATTGCAATTTGGTTTTTATGAGTATATGGGCCAGTTGTGGTATCAGATACTGAGGAAAGTAAGTATTTATGTGTTTCTGTCATTATGCCTTATTTTAAATTATGTGCGATCGATCGATTACTTTCCCTTCTTATTTGAGCAACCGTGGATTAAATTTACCAGAGGGTTTTTTCATTCCGACTCAATAAAGTCACTGAGGGGCCTAATCTTGAAATTCCAGCCATTAAAGAATCATTACGAACTTCGTTTACAAAGGCCCAAGGACCTAGCCACATCTTTGTGCACAAACAAACAAATAATAATAATAATAATAATAATAACTGTTTTATCGTTTGAAAAATCCTCAAAAGTTATTTGTGCATAAATTTATGAGTTCCATCAGTGCAAAAATTAAAACGAAGCAGAGTAGTAGTAATAATAATAATAATAATAATAATAATAATAATAATAATAAATCTTACCTAAAGTATTTGTTCTAATTTTACTCTGCTTTGTTCAAATATTTGCATTGATGGTACTTATAAATTGATGCACAATTAACAACTTTTGAGGAATTTTCCAAAAATAAAACAGTTGAAAGAGTTGTGGTGGCCAGTAAACAAACACTGCATTTGTTTGCCCTGAAATATGGAATAAGCATATGGCCGGTTTCCATAAAGTTATCAAGACCTATGATAGCAGTGAACTACTTGGAAGCCTGTTGTTTACCAACAACCTCAAGGATGTTTGAGACGACTATCCCTAATGTGACTAAGCGAGTGTCGAACGTCTTCACCAGTGCACAAGCATGTGTTCAACAGATAACGATTTTACGGTTTCCGATAGCTCATTTTTAGTGATTATTTGACAAAAAAAATTCTGGCGCAGTGGTAAAGTGACCCAGGTTTTGATTCAGAGTTCAAAATCAAGGAGAAAAAAAATGGGATTGTTTATCGTACTCAGAACGAAAACATCCTGAAAGGTTTGGGTATTCCAAAATGCATTTTGCTTAGTGACATTCAATAAATTGCGTTTGACACTATTAAGATTTTCAACCAAAGATCTTTTGTGAAACGCGACCTGTTTGATATCTCTAAGACTGGAAGATGTTTTCTACACTTATTTTTGTAATGAATAATTTCACAATCGCCTTCTTCACAATCAGGTGTAACTTTTGTTCCACATGCACGTCAATTTGACAAAAAAAAAAAAATAATTAAAATTTTTGTGAAATGTAAGTGCCCAAGGCTGCTGATAATGTGTAGTATATGAGAGTTCCATTGGGTAGTTTCGTTACCCGTGAAAACAGCTTTTTATTTGCAGAATGCATGAAATGTTCATATTATTTAGCGAGATCCGTGAAACACCCCTTTCGCGCGACTCGTGAATTTTAATCCTTGTCCTCCTTGATACGAAGTCATATGACGCTTTTATTAATGCCAAACCCGAATCACAGAGTATACTCTGTGATTCGGGTTTGGCATTAATAAAAGCGTCTCTTTAATTTAAAACTTGTCAAATATCAGTCAACCAATGTATTATTTTGTCAAGTTACGTCTTTAATTGTAAATACATTCATATGCCTGCTAAAAACGGTATGCATGGCACACGGGGGCCTTTTAAGTGTGTAAGTCTGGCAGCAACCGAAAGAACAACTGTATGAACGGCGAAATTTCCTGGCCAAAGATGCTTACAAAGTCCGTCTGGTTGCATCAGGTGAGACAGCTTGGTAATGCGACTGCATCAGTCTACAAGGGATATTTCAATCCTCTCGGTAGGATTGATGTCATAGATATATGCCATCAATGTATATGTTGTGGTTCATGCATACGCGCACATACGTACTTTGCTGGATGTCTTGTAACGGAGAAGGGGGAGTAGAAGGAAACTCCAAACCCAGGGGGCATGTGCCTACTGCAGGGGCTGATCCAGGATTATTTGAAGGGGGTCTGCAGAGCCGGGTTGCGATTGCAAAGGAGCACAAAACAGTATCTTTAAATTTTCGTTAAATCACCACTCAAAATTTGTTCGGGGTATGATACTGTGAAATGCGTACTGACTCACACCTTGAAAACGGGTAGTGTGGTCTGATATATATGATACTGTGAAATGCGTACTGACTCACACCTTGAAAACGGGTAGTGTGGTCTGATATACCGGTGAATTCAGGATCATTCGGTGCCGAGTCAGGTAGTTGGGTAGGCCTGGTATTAGCAGCACAGGTAAAGAAATAACATTTAAAATGATTTGATCTGATCCCTCTCGAAGTTACGGAGCTTTGTTAGTATCGTATTAACTTTTTTTATTTTCATTTAAGTTTTATGTTAAGGAATTTTCAACGCTGGTGGTAATTCCTGGCCATCTCGGCCCGGGTAATGCATACATGTAGGTTATACGAATCCAACATTTACCAGATGTCTGGAAAGGACGTTGATAAAGACAAGCACATGCACATGCACGCGGTTTAACCGTCTGTGTGCCAATCATCCCAGAAATCTGGAGGAAGCGGGCAGTATTCGAATAGATTAAAAATCACCGAAATGCTGCAATGTTGTACGTGGCTTTTCCCTTCATAATAACTTGTGTATTATTGGGAACATTGGTAGAAAGAAACCTTTCCGAAGAAACCGATATTACATCTATTAAGATAAGATCTAAGAAACACATCACAAATATATTTAA